AGATTCATTTTTCCCTTTGTCAGCTGTTCTTGGATCCGCTAGATGTGTTAGCGCAGATGTGAGATGGTGGGATGTTAACCAGAAGAGTGGACTTGAAGAGATTATGTGTGTGTGTTTCTTAAAGGAGGCCATTGTAATTATGCATGCTAATTACAGTTTTTTTCCACGGTGAAGTGCTCTCTCCTGTCCTAGCTTAATATGCTGAGACGCTGCAAAAGGGGAAAATGGATAGTTTATATATCTATCTGATGTGACATTTAAAAAATAGTTTTGGTTGGTGAAATCTTATTTAGTCTTGTTAATTTAGTCATATTAAACAATTAAATATTTTTATAAAATATATAGAAATAGACTATATTCAAATATTTTAGTATGTCATATTTATATCTATTTCTATATATTTCTTTTCTTCCAATATTTTTTTTTTAAATAAAACCCTATACCATGAAGCCTGTTTAGGTTGTTAGCCAGGTATGTTTCAGTTTAGTTTGTGCCAACCCTGGGTTTTAGGCACCATGAAACTGGTTTGGCTTTTAGCAGTAGGCCTATTTAATGCCATAGTAACTTACATTCAACGGCAAGTTATGCTCACAGTCACACTACATGATTTTTGGCTGGAATTTGCAGTTTTCCAAGGTTTGCAACAAAATCCCCAGTCATATTGGGGCTTGTTGGAGTGCCGATGGTCGGAAAGTATGAACAGGTCACACAGGTGCACACGCTACAAGATCACATAACAATAATATCAACAGTCTGTGACTGCTCGAGACAGGCTAAGATCACAAAGCTGTGTTATTTTTAAAACCTATGTGATAGTATTGCCTTGTGATCTTGTGTTTGCAATACAACGAAAAGGTGGAGGTCACACTCTCTCTTCAGAGCATTCCCTAAAGCCACGCCTCCTTCAAAACACATCGACGTGCAGGTCTCACACCAGCCAGATTCAGCTAATTCATTTCAGCATTGTGTTGTCAGAGAAACACATAAATTCAAATCTGATGACGCGAACAGCTTAGAGTAGAAAGTCACGCTTGCTATTTTGTAATGATGGTTACAGCATGTCATGAACGAACCATAAGCTCGTTGTTTTGGTTCAGGAGGAACTGTAAAAGGTGGCTGTCTGTAGCTCTGATGACTTATGAGGTATGGAAATACATATTTTGACTGGCAGGTAGGACATCCTATCATTGCCTTTTGACTCAAATGCAATGTTTGGAATGAATATTTTTCGGCCCTGAGACCTCTAGAGAAGATATAGGCGATGTACATTTTTTTGACATGTAGATCACTTCATATAATCTACTCTCCTACACTACAAGAGGAGCAGTGGCCATTTTGTATAAAAACCCCATCACACTCAACCCTGTCACATGTACACTCACCTAAAGGATTATTAGGAACACCATACTAATACTGTGTTTGACCCCCTTTCGCCTTCAGAACTGCCTTAATTCTAAGTGGCATTGATTCAACGAGGTGTTGAAAGCATTCATTGGAAATATTGGCCCATATTGACAGGATAGATTTGTGGGATGCACATCCAGAGCATGAAGCTCCCATTCCACCACATCCCAAAGATGCTTTATTGGGTTGAGATCTGAGCTTTGTGACATGGTGCATTATCCTGCTGGAAGTAGGCATCAGAGGATGGGTACATGGTGGCCATAAAGGGATGGACATTTAAATGATGCCCAATTGGTACTAAGGGGCCTAAAGTGTACCAAGAAAACATTCCCCACACCATTACACCACCACCACCAGCCTGCACAGTGGTAACAAGGCATGATGGATCCATGTTCTCATTCTGTTTACGCCAAGTTTTGACTCCACCATCTGAATGTCAACAGAAATCGAGACAACATTTTTCCAGTCTTCAACTGTCCAATTTTGGTGAGCTCTTGCAAATTGTAGCCTCTTTTTTTCTATTTGTAGTGGAGATGAGTGGTACCCGATGGGGTCATCTGCTGTTTTCATCTCAAGGTTGTGCATGTTGTGGCTTCACAAATGCTTTGCTGCATATTTTGGTTGTAACGAGTGGTAATTTCAGTCAAAGTTGCTCTTTTATGAGCTTGAATCAGTCGGCCCATTCTCTTCTGACCTCTAGTATCAACAAGGCATTTTCACCCACAGGACTGCCGCATACTGAATTCTTTGTGAACCCTAGAAATGGCTGAAAATCCCAGTAACTGAGCAGACTGACCCTTCTGGCACCAACAACCATCCCTTGCTCAAAATTGCTTAAATCACCTTTATTTCCCATTCTGACATTCAGTTTGGAGTTCAGGAGATTGTCTTGACCAGGACCACACCTCTAAATGAATTGAAGCAATTGCCATGTGATTGGTTGATTAGATAATTGCATTAATGAGAAATTGAACAAGTGTTCCTAATAATCCTTTAGGTGAGTTTTTTTTTCTCATTATTTCGGGTTGTTAACTTGTGACAGGGTTTTTTACTTCAATATTTCACTTATTTATAAATAATTGTAATAAAAAATAAAATAGAAAAATTACATAAAATATTCTATTTTTAACAAAATTATGAGTCATTATTTTGGTAAGAATATCTTTACTGACACCATGACTATTTCAGTAAAGATATTCTTACCAAAATCCTGACTCATAATTTTGTTAAAAATAGAATATTGATGCAATGTGTCCACTTGACAACCATCCTGGCAGCTACATCAGCAGCAGAAGACTGTGTTGTGCAACCAGATGTTAACCCGAAAGAAGGGCACACTATGAGACAGGGACAAAATTTAAAATAGAAATTTTTAAGTCTCCCTTCAAACCTGTTACAGTCTTCAAACTTATCACACTATTCTCAACTATTCTTAAAAAAAAATAGGGAAGATGATTGAAAATGAAGGCATTTCTTGCTAAGTGTTCAGTTCACTTAAAAAAATCTAGTAATAAACTAGTAAATAAACTTAATGCTTAATTGAAAAAAATTAGTTATGTGAACTTTTTTTTCCGATTAAGCATGAAGTTTAATTACTTAATTACTTAAACGGGTTTCCTACATTTTTTTAAGTTAAGTCAACTGACCACTTTACAGTGCACCTGACATGTTAAGGACTAACAGAGTAAAATGGTGGTTTAATTTTCTTTTTTTTACAAAAATAAATACCACAGATATACAATATTTGCCTATTTGTAACTTCAGTCCCGTAATGGAAATGGAAAAATTATCATAAAATGTTACATTTGTAGTCATTGAATTGTTATGAGGTACACTTGAGCAGTAGGTTGATGTTTGTGTTGAAGCAATTTATAAGCAATCGTTAATACCTGAAGTGGGAAAAATAGAATATGTTGGCGGTTTAATATTTGTAATGATGTGTGATATTTAAAAATTAATTAATTTACCACTATATGTTGTTAAAAAAATCCAAGTTGAAATATTACCGAATACCAGGGCTGACCCTGAAACTAACCCAGCCGATCACAGTGCATATGTTGTAATTTTAGTTTGTGCAGCTCATCAGCATTGTGTTGTGTGTGCGTGCTGCTATAACAAGACGACGACAGATGACAAGAAACCTTGTAGTTTAATGTGAGCACCACAGCAATTCAGCCAGTCCTACAATCCTGTAGTGTGAGTAAAGTAACACATCACTGACACCATAAAATCACTCCCCAGTTTCTCTTGCTCCAAAATTAAAGGTCACTAGATAACAGATTTTTAAATACAAAATCGTCTGGTTAATTATTTTATCTGATTTATATATTATTTGTATAATTAATATACCCTGAAACCATTAAACATGAGCAATTTGACTTTAACAATTATCTGTTAGTGTAAATTTATGTAAAAACATAGGCTACAGATAATATGTAATATAAACACGCTTTACAATCAATATAGATGAAGCTTTAAAAATGACTACACATGAGCTTACATATTCAAATGATATAGCAAGATATTTACTTGTTGCTCTGTAAATGCATTTATAAGAGACAGTTGACTCTCTCGCGAGAAGTGAATTACAGTTTTGCACGTTTCATGGCATGTGATTGGCTGTTCGCTGATGTCGCACTTTCATGTGCTCGCGCTCCATCAACAACATGCTAAAAAAACGAAGCCTGATTTGAATGGTTTGGTTTTGTCAACTCAAAGCTAATCCCGTAACCCTGACTTTGTTCAACTACCATAATGGTATGAGCCTCTAGTAAGCCAGAAGTAAGTCATTCCCGCCTGACCAATGGTGTGTATTTGGCTGAATAATCTGGTCATCCAACCAACTGTTAAATCATTATTCCAATTCCATTAGGTAATGTGAGTGTTAGAGGAAATACACATATCTCATTTAATGACTATGTCATATGTATGTGTGTGCCTTTCCAGTATAGATATGTGTGTGTGTGTGTGTGTGTGTGTGTGTAGGACTGTAGGAAATGGAGGCCTTTATCATTCCCTGTGCAGGCTTACCTCACCGTCTCTAAGCAACGGTTGCCAAGCAGCCCGTATAGCTGGAGCAGAACGAGAGAATGAAGAGACTGAGCACGAGAGAAAGTCTGTTTAGCTGAAGGACATCCTACACACACACACACACACACACACACGTGCATGTCGATAAAATAACACATAGGTTATAGAGCTGTTAGGAAGGAAGGACACTGAGTTTGGGTGCACCTGCAAGTTCAGAATGTTCCCATCTGAAGAGTCTCGGACGACATCATCCTCTGAGAAAGCAAATGTGTGTGTCGCTGCATTGAAAAACGCAGGTGTGTCTCTTTCTGTGAGACGTGCCTACATTCACTAAGTGGTTTATCGGGGAAACTGTTACAGAAATTAGCCACTTGACATCATTTGCAGGTTTACGGTGTGTTTATGACTTGCGTTTGGTGGTGTGTGTGAGTGTTGCGTATTAATCATCCTAATGACAGCTCTCTGTATGGAGAGAAGCTCCATTATACACTGGGTCACATTTTAAGTTTATTACATGACATAAATGAATTATGATCACATGGTTGTGTTGCACTTCTCTCTCTCAGGGTTGGATGACTGTTTGCTGCAGTATATGAGGGCATTTGAGAAAGAGAAGATAAACGGAGAGCAGCTGCTTCACATCACCCATCAGGAGCTGGAAGAGCTCACCGTGACCCGCATCGGACACCAGGAGCTCATTCTGGAGGCTGTGGACTTACTCTGCGCACTGGTGTGTGTGTGTGTGTGTGTGTGAGAGAGAGTGAGGGGAAAATGAGACTGGCTGTGATAATGATGTGTTTGTTTTGTATTAATGACACGACAGACATTTTATTCAAACTCCGCTTAACACTGAATGATTAACACCCAGCGGGAATCTCTCAACCAGTATACAAAAAGAGGAGGGAGTTTGTGTGCAAGGAAGGGAAGATGCGTTTTTGGTTCTGATTGGCTGCTGGAGGAATTCACGCATCATAGAATGAGAGGAGGAGTTCAATCTCAGTCAACTAGCTAACTTCCTCACAGCTGTTCATGCAAAACAATTCATCTCAGAAGCAGAATTCAGGTTTATAAGTAGGCTAAAGAGCCGTTCCGGGTGAAAGGATTACATGCAACCGGAGTCTAAAACAATTTGAGATCTTATCGCAGACAACAGCGAAGGACCGCCTACTCAGTCATAGTCAACATTTTTTTTTTTTGCTATTATAGTATTTATTTATTGATTTTTTTATAAGATTTTATTTTTATATTTTCATTTTAGTTATTTATATTATATACATTTTTTTTAATTCGAAGTTTTAGTAATTTTGCTTTTGTCATTTTAAAATTTTAGTTTTAGTAATTTTTGTACTTCAACTTCAACTTTTACTTCATTTCAACGTTTTATTTCCGTTATTTGCTAAAGTAACATTTCCAAGGCAAGTTTTTGTTAACCTTAAAGGAGAACTCCGGCAAACAATGAACCTTTGGTCTAATAAAACATCGGTACATAGTCAACCGTTCTCTGAGATTTGTTTTCATGATAATCGAATGTAAAGAGTTTTATCTCTAAAAACTGTTTAGCGTATAATGCTAGTAATGGGGGCATTGACTAAGTAAAAAGAAATCGCTAGTTTATACCACTAAGAAGGCTCAAAATAGCCCCACACTAACGCAGTAACATAATGAGGCTCCATACATGCAAAACGAAGCATTGAGAACTTTGTAAGTGTACAGACCGTTTAATAAGAAGATACTTTACGAAGACAGTTCACTTTGCGTATACATACAGGAGCCATCTTAAAAAATAGTCTCGATAAGTCGATCCCCGAACGCCGTTCATAGAGTTCAGAAGTTCGCTGAACTTCATACAGTTCAGATCACTCAGCACGACGTTCGGGGATTGACTTATCGAGACTATTTTTTAAGATGGCTCCTGTTTGTATACGTGAAGTGAACTGTCTTCGTAAAGTATCTTCTTATTAAACGGTCTGTACACTTACAAAGTTCTCAATGCTTCGTTTTGCATGTATGGAGCCTCATTATGTTACTGTGTTAGTGTGGGGCTATTTTGAGCCTTGTTAGTGGTATAAACTAGCGATTTTTTTTACTTAGTCAATGCCCCCATTACTAGCATTATACGCTAAACAGTTTTTAGAGATAAAACTCTTTACATTCGATTATCATGAAAACAAATCTCATTATGTCTTATTAGACCAAAGGTTCATTGTTCGCCGGAGTTCTCCTTTAAGTTGTTCATTCAATATGTATATTTTATTTGAATTTATTTCTGTTTTATCTAATTCTATTCTATTTAATTTTTTTAATATTATAAATTTTAGTCATCAATCAATCAATCAATCAACCACTGTGCTAAAACAAGTGTTTTAAATTGCTGTTTCCATTTGTCTTTAAAATAGAATAAAAAATAAAATGTGGTGCATTCCTGCCCTCTGAAGCACCATCCCAAAGTCTTTCGCTCCTTATACATTTTGCATTGAACCTTTTTTAAAACAAGAGTCAACTGTCACCAGATCACTCCTAAATTCTCATGGGTTCTGCTGACCTTCTTTTTATTTATTTATTTGTTTATTTTTTTTTATTTGCTTTAGGTCTTTGCTATCATATCTATCTATCTGGAAACATATTTAAATTCTAAAGATGCCACAAAGAGCTTTTAGGTGCCTTGAAGTGATGAACACCATTTCAAAGATCTACCTTGTGAACCTATTTAAGGATCTATTTATAATAATGGTTGGAACATTGAATGGTGTCTACATATTAATATGCATGGCGGCTCTAATTTATGCAGTGAGGAGCTTGAATTAGATAAGGGAACAACAGTCACAACTAGAAAAAGACACGTCACTGCTGCAGATACCAGTTTACACCATATATAGAAAAAAACTGAGAAGACCCTCTGCCTATAAATGAGATATGTTGGGTCCAGCTGATTAATACTATAAACAAACCCAAAGGAAATGTGAGAGAAAATCTACTGTTTGTTATATGAAACAGCCAATTGTGAATCAGAATGATTCGGATATTAAACTATTTTGCCGATCGATACGCAAAAATGATGGGTTCTCCAAGCAGTAGGTCTGAGAAAATGGCATTCATTCTGAGTAATGCATTTTTCCAGATATGAATGGAGACTTGATTGTGTGCCTTATTTAATTCCACAGTGTATGCAGTGTTTTATTTCTGAGTTACTTTGTTAGTGTGTAGTGATGACCCTCTGTACATGCTGTGAGAATGCTGCCTGATTTTTCTGCTGCTTACACTTAGCTTTTAAGCCTCAGAATGATAAAATCAGCCACAAGATTGACTACTATGCCTCTGACCTTGGACCCTCTTAGGAAAAAAAACTGCTATTGGACTGTATTGAAAAGAACATTTTAAAATAATAAATCTCTCATGCTTTGTCAGACACATCACTCTTAGAAAAAAGGGTTCTATATATGTAGCATAGGGTTCTTTACTCAACTGCAAAGGACCTTTTATGCAAAAAAAAATAATGATAATGACAAGAAAGAACCATTTTGGCACAAAGGTTCTTTATAGGCTGTTATTCATATATTACATTATTCTGCAACATTTTGCAATTAAATTATTGTTTATTAAACTGTCGTAGTAACTTAATGTCACATTTTAATCATGCTGATTTTTGGAGGATAAAAACTGAAAGGGCACTCTTCGTGTGATATTGATTAATTACATTTTTTAACCCCCATATCTTAAATTTTGTGATCATTCACATGCATTGCATTTTAGGGGTTCCAAATACGTAGCGCTTTAGAACCTTTTAAGGTTCTTTATAGAACCTTTCCTTCTAAGAGTAACATTCAAAAGTTTGTGGTGAGTACGATTGTTTATAATTTTTTGAAAGAAGCCATTTATGCTCATCAAGGCCGCATTTATTGATCAAAATACAGTATGGCTAAACAGTAACATTGAGAAATATTTATTTGAAATGATTACAATTTCAAATAAACATTTTCTATTTTGAAATGTAAATTATTCCTGTTGTGACATGTCACAAAGGTGACAAATTACTCCAGTCTTCAGTGTCACGTGATGATCAAGATATACAAAGACGGTTCACTCATATTACTTAAAGATGTGAGAAGCAGCAACGCGCAGTACGCAGTATGGCGGAATACGTCCTGCCTTCTTCTTTATGCTTCTTTAAGCATTAGAAACAACATTTTTGAGACAGTTTATATCAGATTTAGTTGCGGATTTGAAATATGTTATTTTATTGTTAGTTCGGAAAGCAGTTTTTTAGATTGAAGGATCCCCCCATTCAAATAGATAGGACTTGATCTTGAATTCCCAAAATAGCTGCCCGGAGGCATTGCAAATATGGCCGCTGAGTGAACAGACTTTCTTTGAAAGGGATTTTGCACATAATCCTTCAGAAATCATTCTACTATGGTGATTTGGTGCTCAAGAAACATGTATTATTATGAATGTTGAAAGCAGAGATTTTTTACAGGATTCTTTGATGAATAGAACAGTATTTAATTGAAATATAAATCTTTTAAACATTGCAAAAGTCTTTACTGTCACTTTATCAGTTTTTGTCATGCATCCTTGCTAAATAAAATATGAATTTCTTTTGAAGAGTAGCATAACTATTCTAACAATGATATTTTTCCTGTTGCAGAACTATGGTCTAGAGACAGAGAATTTGCGGACTTTGTCACACAAACTCAATGCATCCGCTAAGAATCTGCAGAACTTCATCACGGGGCGGCGCCGTGGGGGCCATTATGACGGACGAGTCTCGCGGCGTCTACCAAACGATTTCCTGACTTCAGTCGTTGACCTAATCGGAGCTGCTAAAAATCTACTGGCATGGCTGGACAGGTACTCAAACCTCCCCAAACAGGGAATGAACTCACCTGGGCTGAATAGAACAGACCTGAAAGTCATATGATACCATAGAAATGAATGGAATTGAAATCTGATAGGTATGTATTACTGTAATAGGGAGTCAAATAGCCTTGATAAGCTGTCCAAAATACCAAATAAAAAGAAAACTAATTAAATTCTGGTTTTTATAGTGGCCAGTGCACAAGTGCTCTGACATATTATAGTGTGGTGCTCATGAGAGAAATAAGTTTTGAGTCCAGCCCAGGTCTTGTTCCAAACCTCTGTTTAAAATGTGAAAAAAGCCCTCGTCTCTTTATGTATGTGTTTGCTTTGTTTGCAGGTCTCCATTTGTCAGTGTTTCTGAATACTCAGTGCTGAAGAACAACATTGTTCAGCTCTGTCTAGAGCTAACCACTATAGTACAACAGGTGTGTGTGTGTGTGTGTGTGTGTGTGCGCGTGTGTCAACACAAACGGCACAGTTCTTTATAATTATTTTAAATGTAAAAATGTTCTTCTCCTCTTAGGATTGCACAGTGTATGAAACTGAAAATAAGATTCTGCATGTGGTAAGTGTTTCTCAAGCCTAACACACACAAACTTGTACCACTATACTTGAGACGACCCCTAACTGTACTAACTGTAGTAAGAGCATACTTTCGATTAGCACAGACAATTTTGACTCAGTACTGCACATTAAGCAGAAATTTGAAAATTATATTATTGTTATGTGAATTATTCGGATAAATGTGTATTAATTGATCTGTGAAGGTGTCTATATCCTGCTTTTGAGGTACGACCACTTTTCTGAACTGTCCTTTAAAACATTAATTTAGACTTTAAATTATCAGGCCATCCTCACATGCTGGTTATAAAATATTTCCCCGTTCTATAGATGTGACTTCATGACATTTTCAAAACATATTTCCTAAGAATAGTGAACAAGCACACACACTTTTTATAATCACACAGCCCTTATATTTATATATTTTTAGTAAAACGTGTGCACGAAGTCACGTGTATTTGGCCTGCTCTGAAGCAAACGTCAGTGTGTGTGTGTGTGTGTGTGCGTGTGCTTTGCCTTAGGTTGGATATCCTGAATAATGCAGATTTTTCTCCCTTCAGGATCACTGCCTGTAGAACAGAGAGAAAGAGAGAGAGAGGGATGGATAGATGGATACAAATAGACAGAAAAAGAAGAAAGATATAATAGAACATGAATAAATATTCATATAGCATATGATTAATGCAGATTCATTATACATTATGGGTATATTTCATGATGCTGAATGGCTTTCATGTGAATGGTTTGGGCCGCCGCAGGGTTGCCAGTATTTACTGCTCCCTCCCAGTTCAACAGCTATAAATAGACTGAGAAATGTACAATGCAATCGCAAACATAGACTGACAACACTGTCTGTTGGTTTCTCATTGTCTTTCTGTCTTTATCTCTCTTTGCAGTGTAAGACTCTATCAGATATCTGTGAGCACATTATTTCATTGTCGTCCGATTCGTTGGTGTCACAGTCTGCTCACCTCGAGGTTGTCCATCTGACTAACGTTATGCCTAGCGAGGGCCTGGTGAGTAAACAACAGCAATATCCCTTTCATACTCAACAGAAATATGAGAATGTTTAAAAAAGAAGGGTCTAATTGGTTGGATTTTTAGGAAATTTCTCGATTTCTTTAAAAAGAAAACACTGTTGCTCTGTGGTGACATAAAAATTGCTCTGCATGTTTAAATACCTGACATTGACTCAACCAATGGCGTGAGTTTGGGGCAGGACTATTTGTTTATGTGACCAATAGGTGACAGGGAAACCTGTTTGGAAACAATCATTGTTTTTGTAATTCCATTCAGTGACAGAAATTACACAGTTTGAAAAATCTGTTAAATCTCACAACACTCTCTTTCCTCTTTTTAGGGCATGTACATCAAGTCCACATATGATGGTCTTCATGTTATCACTGGAACTACTGAAAATGTGAGTTCAAAGCTGCATTTATTCTTTACCTGTCTCATAGTTTGGGTCTACCTAACAAATATTGGGAGAGGAGCTTTTACATATAAATCCTGAGATTATAAACAGCTGCTCTCCCCACTTCTTCCCACGGTTATTTCACAAGTTCACATCTACATATAATTATTATGGTAACGGTTATGCGTACTTGGCGTGCTGTCTGGGTGGAGGGCGCCGAGCTCTGAATTTTTGCCCAAACCCAGTGTACTCCCCCCCTTTGGAATGAGGAGATGGAACTAAGGCCACGTTTACACAAAATGAATATTTTCCCCCTCTCCGTTTTCAAAAATAACTTCGTTCACACACCCGCATAAATACGCCGTTGAACGCCATCATATCTATGCCAAACCAATTGGCGGCAGTGTAGGGGTTAAGGATAAAGCAATGCAAGCCAATCAGAATCCTCAGAATCGACAAGAGAGAACCTAAAACGCCGTTTCTCCCAGTTCACACGACAACACATAACCGGCATTTTCAGAAATCTCCACTTTGGCCGGAGTTTTTAGAAATAATCGTTTTCTGTGATAAAAACGGGGTTTTCGTGTAAACGAGAGGCTAATCCGTAAGGAAATATCTGCGTTTTCCCTTCGTGTAAACGGGGCCTAAAAGTGAGGAGATGGGGGTGGGATGCTGATAAACTGTCAAGGACCAAAAGTGGGTTCTGCTGTTATTTATCTTGTCCTGAGTTGATTACTGATTGATCTCCCCATGTGCTGATTGGGTTAATTATGTACATTTGCTCCTCCCGAACCTTGTTAACAAAACATAATTTAAGAATCCCACCTGGAATGCCAGGATGGTCATTTAAACTTGTAGACATGCCATTTAGGGGTGTGTGATATGCATTGTCTATGATGATATCGTAATTGTTGTTTTTACAATGTACGAGCTGAAATTATTAAGTGTCTCTCACTTTGCAAAAAAAGAGTCCAAAACTGAGTCCACATTTCACTAAAAATAGTGAACACAATAGCCAAAAGTAGCCATCTCTAAGCAACACACACCGGTGTTTTGTTATTGAATGAATCTGAGTCATTTGAGTTAAGGATTTCTTGCTTCATTTCTAAATGAATGAAAATATTTCAGTAAATTATTCAATGACTCACCCATTAAGACAGGGACATTTCCTATTTCAGTATTCAAAATGTTATTTTTAAAACTTCAATTTCATAGTATTATTTAGGGCCAGAGCACCAATGGTGAAAGTACCCTCTTGAAATTGCTTCGTTTATTATGTATTTGTAATTTCTGTGTACATGCATTTATGCCATCTCTGAGTTGCATTAAACAGTCTGTGTAAATACATCTAAATGCCACTTTAGATGCAGCTTCTACAGTGCAAAAATAGCTTTTGTTAATGCTGCTTTCATTTGATTAGTAATAGCCATTATGGGTCTTATTATTCAAATTTAATAAAAAAAGAAGTACTGAAATAAGTGTCCTGAGAAATCACAACTGAGTCTGTGACAGCCTTAGGCTCTAAAAACGATTTTTAGCCAATCATGGAATGTTCCATACATTTATGTGTTGAGGATAAGGCAGTCTAATGAAGTGGTTCAAAACACTTTGAAACTTTGGACCACCTCTGCTTGTTTCCAAATAAGGTTTTCATTTATGCCATTGTTTGATATTTATAGTTGATTTATTGCTCATCAGCATGAGAAGTGATGTTATAAATACCTAAAATAATTTTATCCAGACTGGTTTGTTATAATTGTATTATGTAAAGCACCATCTGAGTTCTTCTACTGCATGATTAAAACTCCTACATTCTCAGATAAAATGGTAAAAAAAGCCGTCACTGGAATGTTACTGCTAACCTAAAAAAGGTTCTAATTTACCATTTACAAGTACTAATATGTACACTTTTGGTACCTTTGAACTACTAACATGCACTCTTTAGGTGTTGCCTTTGAAAGGGTACCACCTCAGTGACAGCTTCTGTACCTTTTTGTCTGAGAGTGTGTGTTGTTTATATAAGTGTTTATGTCAATCTAAGATCATTATTGATGATGCTGCGTGATAGGACATCTTATTCTGGTCTGGTTTTCTTCATATTGTCAGTGCCCAATTCAGACAGTATTGCTCTAAAGCACATGCTGTGCTGGAGCTCTTCTGTGGGGACAGCAGAACCAGGTCATCCGCTTTGAGCAGGCACTTGATTTCAGAGCTGGCAAGAGTGAGGCTTGAAATGGTGGATTGTTCCAGTGCTGTTGTTAAATCATTTATGTAGATGTTCAATTGGGTTGAACTCAAACATGCCTTTTTTTAGTTGCTGGAAGAGCAGAATTCATTGATTTCTAACTCGTAATGCACATTTAGCCTACTGTTCAGCTAAATGGATTTTTACAGTTTTTAATGATTTTTTTTTTTCATTCTATTCAGTCTGTAGAACAACATATCAGAGCAAATGCAAAATCTTCTGAATAACTTTGGACTGGTGTGGCATGGTTTAGTGGTTAAAGATTTGGAAAAACTATAAATTCAAATCTCAAAGGGTTTGAAAATGTCAACCATTGTACACTTGAGAAAGACATTTAATCTGAGGTTGCTCCAGGCGAACTAGATGTCATTGAAGCATCATTGAAATGACTGTTTACTAAGTTTGAACCGATTATGAAAATATTCTTTAAAATAAATGTTTAGCTGTTTATGCCTAAGTGTGTGGAGAGAGTAAGCAGAGCTGTGTTCACCAGAAGCATTTATAAGCCTAAGTAGATTGTAGAAAGTTCAAAATCAATGCTCTCCACGATCTACTTAGGCTTACGCAGCCCAGATGAGTGAGACTTTGATGAAAAGACTTTCAAACGTTCTTCATAGGGAAGGTCAACAGTCAGGCATGTATGATACAATAATACAACACTGAAATGCCTTGGTAAATAATTGGTGTCAGATTTATCTCTATAATGAGCAGGGGTTATTAATCTCTCTATCTCTCTCCTGCAGTCTCCCGCAGATCAGTGTAAGAAGATCCATGCCGGTGATGAGGTCATTCAGGTCAATCACCAAACAGTGGTGTGTATCTTTGCATGGGTCAGTCATCTGTGCTTGCATCCTAGGGGGCTTTCACACTGGCAGTTAATTCGGAACGGGGCACGGTTCGCATGAAAAATCGCTAATGTGAACGTTGTCATGGGACCCGGGTGCGCACTGGGGAACAGAACCCGAGACTACTGGAGCAGGTGGTCTGAGTTCGGTTGCGTGAATGTGAAAACAACACGGATTCGGGCGCGCACTTGTTCAGGAAGTAAAGTATCCTGCGAATGCGTTTCAGCTTATTGTGATGTATTCAGTTAAATAACACACTTGTAAGGGATGATAGTGTTGATTTACCTTGGATACAAGCGAGAGTGAGCCTGTATTCGTGAATTGCGCGTGGAATTAGAGCAACGCATTTGCAAATCCACTGTCTCCTCAAAAGAGTCCGTTTGCAAGCAGCAGAAGTCCACCTTATGTGACACACGCACAGTAAACCTGTATTGTTCATTCAACTGCGCATAATAGCAGCAAATTATAAAAAAAACACCATATTTACCCACGTCCTGCTTTCTATCATGCGCCGAGCACGTTTGCGATGACGTAAGATGCACGCAAACGCACCAGGGTTCGATAGAATCAAGTTAAGTGTGAAACCAGACCAACGCTGCAGGGGGCGCCAGGAACAAACGCGCTCGGGCTCGGAAAGTAGCAAACTAGCCCAGTGTAAAAGCCCCCTAAGTGCATAAATGTGCAGATATTATATTGTTTGTGAAGATATTGATTGGCAGTTGATGCTCATGGGTTTCCAGGTGGACCCCATGAGTCGAGAACCTGTCTGCAAAATTTCTTTGTAAGAAATGGGAAAACTTCACAGTAAGGTTTTATTTGTTAACATGAGTTAACATAAACTAACAATGAACAATACTTTTACAGGATTTATTATTCTTAGTTAATGGGGTACTTTCCTGTTATCCGGACCCCACGATGGCCTACCCCTAACCCCGCCCCTAAACCTACCCGTCACTGGGGTTAAGACCAATCAGGGATGATGGCCTAAATGGTTCCTAAATGGTATATGGTGGGGTCCGGATAACAGGAAAGTACCGTTAATGGTAATCTCAACATTTACTAATACTTTTTTCAGTTCAAATGCTGTATCGGTAAATGAACTATGAAAATTTGTATTATCTAACATTAATACATGTTAATAAATACTGTAAAAAAAAAATATGTTGCTCAATGTTAGATAACTAATTTTAATAAATGAGACATTATTGTAAAGTGTTACCAATTATATACTTCAAAAGAAAATATTTCTTACTTTAGGACCATAAATTGTTTTCGGCACTGTGTCATTGTTTTCTCAAAATTAATGCACATTCTATTCAAATTCAAAACTAAGCACGTTCCCAGCCACCAATTCTCATTATTTTAAATTTCAGTTATATTACAAAAGATTAAATTATATAGTGTGTGTGTGTATATATATATATATATATATAGCACAGGCTGATGGGTCCTTAATGCAAGCTGATGATATTTACAGCGTTAACTACTTGGCACAAGCTGATTGGTTCATGTCGTATTTGCAGCCAATGAGTTTGCTTCTCAACATTTAAATGGCTTGTTACCATTCACTATAGCAGTTTGCAGCGTGTTTTCAGAGTTCGTCTAAAACCCTCCACCTTCCCCAGCTCCACCTGTATAGTTCGGCTATGGGTAATTGATATGCTATTTGTGCAGCACAGCAGCAGTATGTCTTACATACTCACAGCAGCGTATTGGCATACGTATTGGCAGCAGCAAGTTCCTGTAGTTGCTCTGCAGCAGCAATAATCTACAACAACAGCAAAAATCAACAGCAGCAGTGTTGCAGATCTATTCCACCAAGACTAAATACATTAACATTGTCATATCCATTACCGTGCGAAAAATCTTCAGAGAGTTGTCAATATATATATATATTCTATTTTTGAAAATAAATACAAAAATGGCCTAATTTTGGGTTTAAATATATAAATATAACCTTCACACTACCAGTCTAATGTTATTTATGTATTCAAACATATTTATGATTTATTTAAGGTTGGCTGGCAGTTGAAGAATTTGGTCAACTGTCTACGTGAGGATCCAAGTGGAGTCATCCTCACGCTGAAGAAGAGGCCACAGAACACTCTGGGCTCCACCCCTGCACTTCTGAAGAACGCCCGCTGGAAACCACTTGCCCTGCAGGTGTGTGTGTGTGCGTGTTAAGATAGCTCAATGTGTTTGTTCAAGTACATCCATTTAATACGTAGTACATCCATTTAATATGTAGTGCATATGACTGTGTGTGTGTGTGTGTGTGTGTGTGTATGAGAGCATCTCAGAGCACTGAATGAGTTCTGTACGGCTTGTTGCCATGGCAGCCAGAGTTCTGTGGTTGCTCTGGATACAAGTATCAGACAGATGCAGTTAACAGCTTGCACATGTGTCCTCTCCTCACAGTCACGACACAGTAGAGCGGAGTGGACGTTCACTCATGAATGAATTCACATTGGCGAATTGAAGGACATAATGATAATTGACATAGCCACTGATCAAATTGCGGTAGAACAGGATTTTCCATCCTCTCTGGATGATTAAATAAACATTTATACACTTGTGAATTACAGCATGAAAACAGCACCTTTAAAAGAGTAGAAGGGCATATCTGTTTACATGCAATAAAACGATGCCCATTGACAAATGATAGTGATAAATCGATGGACAGTGTTTTTATGTATGTCTCTCCCGCCTCTTGTTGCCGGGGTTGCGTTCTGGTGCTTGTTGCTATGCTTTTCCTCATTGCTTACTGACTGATGCAGCGCTCATGGTTGGTAAGGGCAACACTATCTTCGTTATGAAACACACTCTTGGTCCTCTGTTAGTCAAAGGTCTTTAGACGTGTGCGTGACCGATCACTGTCCTGCCCCCCAGACTAACATACTGTACAAGTATAATATGATTCACATATGAAAAAATATTCCTGCCTGAATACTTTCATAATCCATCATGAGCAATATAAGATCTGTCTGATATTATGTTTTTATAATAGCTGATTTTCTTATAATTATTTTCCTTCACATTAAAAGGGCTATACGTAAGAATGTTCATGTATTAATAGTTTTTTTTATTAGCTTGTAACTGAACTTAAATAACTGCAGAACAGAAACTTTAGGATACACTATTGGAGCTGGAGTTACAGAGGCTGCTGGCACCAGACTTGCCCTCCTGTCGTGTGTGCCCATGGGTTTAGGATATACTAATGTAATATAAAATACACTCTAAATTATCCACACACATTTGAGATAATTACTCAATTAACTCCTTGCATTACTTCAAATATTTACTGAATCAAATGTAAATACTGTAAAGATTCACTTCAATTTTCTCCACATGAAATGAATAATGCAAGTTACTGTATTAACTGTATTAAGGCTCCCACAGCCCTTTTAATATTATAACAAAGTGCCATTAGCTTTATAGTCATGTTATTTTGTGCATGCTTTTGATTGGCAGCCGCTGTCCACCAGTCCGTGCAGTGGTTCTCCTACACCACCCAGCACGCTTGGGTCAGTTGGACTTTCACCTGGAGTGGACACACCTGGGGGACATGATGTTTTTATTCTTTCCCCTGTCTACGGACACAGGTATTTACATATAAAATATATGCAAACCAAAACCCTTAGTCTCTTTTAGCATGTTGGTGTAAATTCTTTCTCTTTTCCTTTTGTTTTCTTTCTTTTGCTACTGTTTTCATTCTTTTAGAGAGGAGGATCTAGATCGGGGTGGGTTTGGTGTGTTTGGCTCTGATTCTCCAGGGTATTATGTAGAACAGGAGGTACTGGGTGGCCAGTACTTCCCCCTCCTGGAAGACGATTCTGGGAGAAATACCGGACTGCGACGCAGAGACCGGACCCCAACTCACAGTAAGAACATACACAATAGGGCTGCAACTAATACTTGGATAATGCAAATATGCAAATACATAAATGAAAATTCAAATAAATACAAAGTTCTGTCATGAAACTCTAGATGGCGCAGGCTGATTGGTCCTTCACTCATTCTGCTTGAAATCAAATCATTCTCTACAGAGCATAGCTGATTGGTTCCTGCTGTATCAGTAGCCAATGAGCTCGCTGATTGACCTTTCAAAACTTGGTCAGCATCAGATATGGCAGTGCAGCACGCTTTCAGAAACCCTGCATCTTCCCCAGCTCCACATGTACAGATCAAAATGATTGGATTTAAATGATTTATCGGTGCTAATTATTATTATCGATTATACCAATTTTAAGACCACAAATATTTGCATGGAGACAGCATTACAAATGACTGGCAAATGAACACATGCATGAAATTACTAAACAGTAGAAGAACATGCACTGCCCACTGAAAATAAAAAATCAATAGGCAGAATTTTATGTCATTTTATAAAGAAAACAAGATCTTTTTTCAGATCATGAATAACTCCCAATATATATATATATTGCATTGTACCATTATTTTCAATAATTCAAATTCAATAATTTCAATAATTCAAATTCAATACATTTTATATAATAAAATATGAGATTTTACATTTTATACATTAAAAATACATACTGTAGTTTACATATCATGATAGAATTTGTTTTACTGAAATTAATTTATGCAAATTTTATTTAAAAAAGCATTGTGCCTGGACAGGATGATTTTGATTGCTACATTACAGTTTGGACTTAAGTGATTTGAGAGTAATTATTAGTATTGATTTTATCTTTTAGTCACTGTAAAAATGAATATGCTTTACCTAATCAATAAAATTGTGGCAACAGATTACAAGCAATATTATTTATTAAATTGAACAAATTAGAATTGAGTAATAGTTAATCAAATTAACATTCTAATTAATTCTAATTCGTACAATTTAATTAATAATATTGCTTGTAATATGTTGCCACAATTTTATTGATTAGATAAAGCATATTATTTTTTTCAGTATACTGATTCATATAAGTACAGTACTCTTAATTCAAAACAACATATATTAGGCTACATATGGTTTCTATACACTACATTATACTGCATTCTCTATTTTAAATAATATATGAAACACTCCAACCGCACAGTTTCCAACCATGCATTTTTAAATTGTAGTATGCTTGTGCGATGTTACACAATGTACGTCTTACATCATGCATGGATGGCTATTTTTTAAGCTGGACATAAACGCAGAGTGCATTACAGGAGATTAAGCCACCAGGAAGCTCCGGCTTTAAACTGCAAATCTCAGCCATTTAGTATGTTACAGCTGCAATACTGTGTGCACTAATACACACAGAGGACATGATAGATGCTCTGAAACGCACCACAACATACACACACTCAAATGTTGTATGTCTCTGCCTGTAGGTGAACTCCGACAGGTTACCATGGGAACTGAATGGCTCGCAGAGCCTCAAGAATCTGGAGTTTACAAAAGAGGAAGCAGAGGTGATGATTTTACTTTTTGGTACTACATTACTTTTTGTTTACTCCACTGGCACCAAGTTGTATTTTAGATTCATTTCAAACTTTTAAACTTTTAATTGCCGCTTTGACTCCCTTTTTACTTGAGCACAACCGGGATTTTGTCGGTTCACTCAAAAATGCCGGCATTAATAATTCTGTCTTTTTAAAAACAGACAGATGTTGAGGATATTATTTCAGAGCTCAGTGTCAGTAATGTGAGGCTAACATAAATACTCCATCTCTGATCCTTAAGGTATTAGTAGGAAAGAGAGGTGTAAGATAAACCAATGGGTTGCCCCACTCATATTTCTAACATTTTTCTAAAGTATCCATCATATTCAGAGATCTGTGAATATATGATCTCATCTAATTATGTTATGCCAAAGATGTGTGTGTGTAAATGTGTTTATATTTCTAGTCAAAGAGGAGCTTCTAGTTATAAACTTCTTGATCACTAAAATCTAGTTTACCAACATCATGTGTCATTCTCAGTTGCACATCCTGGCATTTGCCATTAGGATGTGATTTGTGCAAGTTGCTTTGACTAACGTCTGCAAGGAACGTAAATGTCACAAAACTATATAACTGACATTTTAGAGCATCAGAACTGAGAACACAAACCTGTAAGGCAGCGACTTTTTTGCAACCAAAAGCAGGAAATGCCGTTATATAGGCTTGTTTGTGAAAGCTGAGGTAAGCAAAGATTTCTTTGAAGAGGCCACCTAAGCCTCAGAAAGCTGGAGGAACGGTAGACAACCATTTCCTTTGCCTTTGGTTGATCAGTACAGTGTATGACTTACAACTTTTTTTCCCCTGAATATACTTTAATGAGAAAAATATTTTGTGTGCGTGTGGTTTTCTTTTTTTTTTTATCAGCAGATCAGTGTGAGCATATTGGAGATTACATTTTTAGGTTTTTTGAAACTTAACAGTCCATCACCTTTACTTAATAATAATAAGACAGTTTTTACTGCTAAAAATGTTACATTTTAATGTAGTATAGATTATTGTAAACACTTTAACCAAGTTGTTCTCTGTTATTAATAACTGAAGCAGATCAAATCTAACAGTTTTTAATGTGTGAGAACTAAAAGGTTTAACCTTAATGTGTGATATTGACAGTAACCAACTTTCTTTTTGGGGGGGGATTGTGAGAGGTGACAAGTTAACTGTTAACATGTGAACTCATTCATTAATACATTGTTTTGTTTTTTTGTGGAAACACAACTTCTAAAATAGAACAGAGAATACGTAGGCGACACAGACACAGATATAAATAGAAAGCAAACCTCCATTATGGGAAATAAACCTCTCACAAGCACACACACACAGGAAGGTATCAGACTAGCTTCATACTGTGGCAAATAGAGTTACAAAGAGTTGAATATTCAGCAATATGCTCAGTATCTGCTAAACACTCCCTTTTTCTCTGAGTTTGTGACTCCCTGCTTGCTTTCTGTCTTTCTCCATCAGATTCTGATTCCTCCCTCTTGCGGTTCCTCAGTGATGACAGGATTGTCTTGATTCAGGAAGAGGCCGACTTTTCCCAACGGGACACAAGCAGGAGATCCAGGAAGAAGAGCCGGAATCCCAGCAGTCCCAGTTTCCCCATCAGTCCCTCTATGCTTGCCCCACCTGTGCGTCTGGACACAGGCCCCCCTGAGGGGCTGCCCTTCCCCGTGCCCGACTCAAACACGATGCCACACTACCATGTAAGTAAAATGTTGAATCTGATCAGAGCTGTTTTTACTGCTGTGTACTGATGTTTAAATTAATCATTTGATACAACACACGTATTGAGTTCATACATGTTTTAACAATGTCCTTATTAGGCATTTAAATAATACCTGCAAGTAATTACAGCTGTAATCATCTGTAATTATACTTTTGACCACACCTTAACTCAGCCTTAAAGTGATACTCCACCGTTTTTTCATATTAAACTATGTTATTCCCTTAACTAAGACGAGTTGAAACATACATTTCTTGTCTCAGTGCGTGCGCTCAATCGCTCTGACACTTCGATCGCACTTAACTTAGCCCAGTTCATTCAATAGGGGCCAAGCAGAGAAGCGACCAAACACCTCCACGTTTTTCCTATTTAAATACAGTTACACGAGTAGAGTAACTCGACCAAGAATGGTGATAAAATAAAACGTTGCACTTTTCTAAGTGTGTAAAGTGGATAACTATAATTTATGGCAGAATACCATGCACAGCAAGTGCTTGGGAGCACTTCGACTCGGCGCAGTAATATCATCACTCGTGAAAAGTCCTCTCCGGAGTGATGATATTACTGCGTCGAGTCCATAGATATAAATGCGCCGAGTCGAAGTGCTCCCAATCACTTGCTTTTAAATAGGGAAAACGTGGAAGTGTCGCTTCTCTGCTTGTCCCCTATTGAATGAATTAAGTGCTATAAAAGTGTGTCGCGCGCCAGAGTGATTGAGTGAGCACTGAGACGAGTGAGGTATGTATCAACTCTTCTTAGTTAAGGGAATAACATTTAATATGAAAAACAAGTTTAATATGAAAAAACGGTGGAGTATCCCTTTAAACATAACCAAACAACGAAACCTTTCCCTAAACTTAACCGTATCCCACCACAATAGCAGCAAAACACAATAAGTACAATATACCTAACTTTTTTTTATGTAAGTACATAGTAATTAAAGATACAATATAGTGAACAAAATTTCAGAATTGCCTCGCAACATACATTTGATCTATATTGTCATGTGATTGTACATACAGAAACACGCGTCTCTGAAACAGTACTTTCGTTTCATAACTCAGAACAGGAAATTCAAATCTCTCTTCCTCTCTGTCTTTCTTTCTCTTTGTCATTCTGTTCCTTGCCCCAGAGAACTGCAGACACACTTCGAGCAGATGCTGATAGGTGAGTAAACTTCACACCTTCCTTAATTTATCATACAGTTTGGTATTATTTATTTATTTTGTAAGATATTTTTAATTCATTGAATTTGACTTGCCAAATAGTCAAAATTTGGTTTTTAGACAATTTTAATTTTCTTTGCCCCCCTTTTTTAGCTGGTTTGTCCTTAAGAATGTTTTGTAAACGCCCTCTTCACTTGTAAAATGAAAAGAAAAAAAAGTGCTCTGACAAAAGCTGTAGGTTGCCTCTTTGCATAGCCTGCATTATATTGTGACAGATTCACAAAATAATTGGGCTCATTCAGAAAGACTTTCAGAGGAACAGGTGCTAAACACAGCCAGATGTGTAGGCGCTATACAGAGCGCACGTTTGCTGGATTTCCCCATATTTTATTTTTATCATTATTGCTTCTGGTGTTTAGATTAACAGTATCAATTCAGCTTCCTCCTTATTGCCAGACTGTGACTGGACTGGCCAAGATTCAGAACATTAATGTCATTGATGTGTAAATGCAGCTGATTATGTTAATATTTGCAATTTCTTGCATCATAAGTGCAAGAATGTCAGAAAGTGATGTTTCTGGATATGTTCTTTTTAGACTAGGGAGCAAGTTTTGAGTTTTTAAAGTGACAGGACATCAGTGTAATAAGCTTTATCCTAAAAGATGAAGGAGAGTTTGATTCCTCATGATATCTTATGATAGATAATGGCTTTGAAACCGGTCACTTTAAGTTCAGAATAAGCATTTCAAGAGTTTTGTTTGTTGATGTACAGGATATTAGGATGCTTCTCATGGCTTTGTTCGAGCTTAATGAACTGCCGTTTGTTTTCTAAATGAGGAACAGAAATTCCTTGGCTGCAGTCTTAAGGAGGTTTTTATTTCCTGTGACTAAAGCTGCAAGAGTCTGTGGAGTCTCATTTTGTGGAACGTGTCTGTCTTAAGATATTATTAAACATGTTTGTACGCGTTTGTCGTACACACGAAATAGCATAAAGCCAGCGCTGGGATTTGATAAAACTAAAACATATTATACATGCACACACATTTAAAATGATTAAGTCTTACTTACAGGTTGTGGCCCAACAACTGCTTCCTCTGGTTTTAAACTTGGACCTGCTTCATGTTTTAGTAACAGTTTCTTGTTGAATCCGGCATTGAATTCGTGGAGATTCTTGAAGCTGTCTTCCGTAAATCTGCAGCAAAGAGAGATAAATTACAATTGTAATTTTCAGGAACATAAATTTTAGTCATTGTTGACGAACTACAACGTCCGTGGGAAGCCCGAACACAGAAGACCTGACAGCTGGGAGAAAATAACACACTTTCAATGAGCCGCAGAAATATGGCCATGCCCTTTTTTGCATATTCCGGAGGGAGGGTTGATGCAAATGTATGGTTTAGTTACGTATAAAAACCCGTTGATCATCAATTGGACCTCACTAGTTAAAATTGTTCAAATGTTTTGCCCATGCCATGGGTGCCTATGAGATGACCTCACTATATTGTGAAACAAACATAAGTGTGTGTGTGTTTGTTGGTTTGAGGGTGTGGAGTCAACCTCAAAAACCAGCATCCTGTCCATTACCCGGGTCTATATTTAAGTTAAATAGGTGCAACATTTTTATTTGAATTTATCATATATTATTTCTCTTTCTCTCTCTGCAGATATGCCAGTTCAGGACTTGACCGACAAGCAGGGGCATCAATGAGGAAGGTAAACCACAAGCACAGTTACAGCATCAGTCGTGGTAATGAGAATACATAGTGTTGGGAACAAGAGGTACAGATACAACTTTAACATTTTCAGTAAAAAAAAAGGTGAAAAAAATTCAAACTTGCAATGCAAAAAGTATCACTATTTATTCAGCAACGTTTTGGTCCCATGACCTTCAGCAGGTATTTACGGTGACGGGACTGAAACGTTGCTAAAAAGTTTGATTCTTTTAACAAGTTGGGATAGTGTGCAGGATTTTTTGGGCAATAGCCTTCGCCCCTATCAATTAGCCACAGGTGTGCAATGTTAATCGTTTATTGATAATGATTTTATAGAAGTCCTCACAACTGAGAATGGTGCAATCATGAGCCTTCTGAAAAAAGTAATCTAGTCCTAAATTTCTCACGAGTCCTTTCTCTCCTCTCTCTAGTCTGTACATTATGCCTCTCTGAGGACCAAGCCCAAGAAGAAAAGCAAAGGTATGATGATGAGATCCTGGGTTTACTCTAAGCACTTTGGTAGTGTGTTGTATTACACTGTGCTGTTCTGTATACATAATATAATATAAAGTGTGATTGTATTATTCCAAAGTTATTCTGTCATATGTGGTTGCCATTTAATATGCTGTGTGTGTGTAGGTTCCCTCAGTAGTGCCAGCAGAAGGCGTATTGCCTGCAAAGATCTGGGTCATGGGGACTGTGAAGGCTGGCTATGGAAAAAGAAAGACGCCACCGGCTACTTCACGCAAAAATGGAAGAAGTATTGGTTCGTTCTCAAAGACTCCAACCTATACTGGTACACCAACCAGAATGTAAGCAAACAAACACAATTCCCTTCCCTCGGGTGGTAAAGTCTGTTGGCTGTGTGTGTGTGTCTGTGTGTAATGCCCTTCTTTAATTATCCATTTCCACTTTTGGCACCACATCCAGCAATCAATCTCTACTATTATTACCAATTACACAATTATCAGCACTTTCGGTCCTCTCTACTTTCATTGATGGCCAAGTCACAGGCTCACAATGCTCGTGATGTTTAGTTTTCTTGTCCACAACAATAAAATGTGCATCATATGTTCTCGGTTTCAGAGATGCTGATGTTTGCATTTATATTAACAACTACCATAGTTATGATGCAGAAATGATTTCTCTTCTTCTGTATTTGCTTGCTCAGGATGAGAAAGCAGAGGGCTTCATCTGTTTACCAGAGTTTCGGATAGACAGAGCGATTGAGTGCAGGAGGAAACAGTGAGTGTTAAAAGACAACATTAATAGCTTGTTCTCTCTGTTGTGTTGGGTTTGCTGGTTTTTGGGCGGGTCTGTATTTGAAGCCCATCGGCTAGCGGAATCTGGGTCACTGCAGAACTGCTGAACTCTCTTATACAAACACACACAGTAATTGATTGTAAACTAGATATTTGTGACTGAACATCTCTTTTTCTCTGCCTTTTTTTTTGTTTCAGTGCCTTTAAAGCATGTCATCCCAAAATTAAGAGTTTCTTTTTTGCTACTGATCATTTAGAGGAGATGAACAGGTAAGTGGTTTCAGAGCCTCTTCAGACTTCAGCTGTCCCTTCTTGTTATTTCCTCTCACGTCTATGGTCCCTGTTGCAGATGGATGAATCGTTTAGGCTTGGCTGCGATTGGCTACACGCCTGATGATCCAGTACCACGTCCTGATGAAGGTGAGATCACATCCTGTGATGTTAACTTATCATAAGGCCATAGTGTGACTCTAGTTTCACTCCATTCCATGAATGATTGTACTTGAAGCAGTTGAATAGCCCAGTTTGAGTATCAGAATCTACTGTATGTTGTCATGTACATGTGATCCTGATGTCATTTTTTTGTTTAGATTACTGGAGTGAGAGTGACCAAGATGAGATTGATGGGTCTATGACACTCAAACAGGAATCCACGTACCACCACAACCCATCTGTGAGTATAAACACACGTCTACGAACATATATGCATATAATCAGCCAAAAACTCTCTTTGATTTTCTTTAGCACAGACACACCATCACACTGGTTCTGGTGCCGGTTCCTTATTGACGTTTAAACCTCACATCATGAACCAGTGACATCAGAGGTCAGGAGTCAGGATAATGTCTCAAACTATTTATTTTTATTTTTTTTAATTTAAAGGGATAGTTCATCCAAAAATAAAAAGTATTTCATTTTTCATCAATGTTTATATATTGATTAAATTCATATTGAATGAGTTAAAGCCTCAATTAAATATAAAGCAATCGAGTCTCTTCAGAAAATTGAATATGGATTAGTTTTACGATCTCTTTATGAACACTGTCAAAATGGAGAGACAGAAAGCTCTCAGATTTCATCAAAAAGATCTTAATTTGTGTTCGAAGATGAATGAAGGTCTTACGGGTTTGGAACGACACGAGGGTGAGTAATTAATGACAGTAGTAGTAACTACATGGTACAAAACTAGATTGTTTTTGTTGCAATCAATAAATCTAAACACAAGCAGCCATGTAAAAGCAGCCATTGTGTAATCCGAAATAAAAACATTTTTGGACATATGCAGCCTTGGTGAGCATTAGAGACTTCTTTCAAAAACCTTTAAAAAATCCTACCGACCCCAAACCTTTGAATGGAAGTGTACGTTAAATTAAATACAGCTCATTATGAAATAAAGATGTTAAATTACATTACTTTAGATGAGAAAACCAAAAATGATGTAACATAGTCACTTACAGTATGTCATTTTTTGGGCTCACGTCACTGAAAACATGGGCCGGCTCTGAGAAAGGTTGGCTGAGCACAGGCCTTCACATCACCAACACTATTGTGGTGGAAAACATGTAGCAAACTCACTCTTTGGCTATCATCTTATACCTCTAGCTCTCTAACTAATAGATTGACAATGCTAATGAGAAGTGATTCTGTTGTCCTCAGGGAACTTCATCCAGTCCATTTCCCGAGCGTCATTTTTCCAGCGGCTCCACATTCTCGCATTCCTCTGCCGAAGAGTCCCATTCTTCTTGCCGATCCTCCCATCGAGAACGCCGCTCATGGCAAGACCTGATTGAAACCCCGTTGACCAGCACGGGTCTACACTACCTGCAGACTGCAGAAGAGGAGGCGCCATCCCTGCTGTCACCTGACCAGCACCGGCAGGCTACGCTTCCCGCCCAGCGCCGGCGTCCTCTGGAACGCGATGGGCCATTTCCATTGACGGACAGCGAGGAGTCCCGTCCCCGCCATCACACTCACAAGCAGCGCAGCCAGAGCCTCCCACGCCACCGCGACACACACGGAGGACACTCGCACCGCAGCGCACGTACACACACTCACACACACACGCACGGCACTCTGAGGCCAAGAACTCATCTCCATGAGGAAGAGGAGGAGGAAGAGGAGGAGAAGCAGATGAGGAAAGCCAGCAGCAGGAGGCCTGAGAGCGAAGAGCAAGCGTCTGACGGCACGGACGGCCTGCAGGAGTTGTACCGATCGCTGGAACAGGCCAGTCTCTCGGCTTTCGGCCAGCAGAGGCCTTCCACCAAACAAGAGTTCAGACGCTCCTTCATCAAACGCTGCAATGACCCCGCCACAAACGATCGACTGCACCGCATACGGGTTCTCCGCTCCACGCTGAAGGTATGGAAACACAGGGAGCAATGGACTCTTTCACACTTCAGGGTTTGGAATGTGGAAGTAAACTATACACCTGGAAAAATCTGGAAAGTTTGAATGTTTTTAAAAGAAATCTCATGCTCACCAAGGCTGCATTTTATTTTATCAAAAATAAAGTAAAACGGTAATATTATAAACTAGTGTTACAATTTAAAATAACTGTTTTTTTATGTTTTATATAATTTAAAATGTGATTTATTCCTGTGATGCAAAGCTGATTTTTCAGCATCATTTCTCCAGTCTTCAGTGTCACATGATCTTTCAGAAATCTTCTAATATGCTGACTTGGTGCTTAAATGATTATTATTATTATTATCAATGTTGTAAAAAGTTGTGCTGCTTAATATTAGTCAGGATTCTTTAAATAAAAAAGATAGTTCAACAGAACAGAAAAAGAAATTATTTCAAATAGAAATCTTTTGAAAAAATATAAATATCACGTTTGATCAATTAATTGCATCCTTGCGGAATTAAAGTTTTGTTTTTTTATCAAAAAGAAGAAAAAATCCACTGATCTCAAAATTTGGAATGTACATTAAAATTGTATTAATGAATATATAAAAAATGATTGCAGTGTCATCACAGTCTGTGAATCTCTGTAAACAAATCTTGAGATGTCTAATGGACAATTCTAATGGATGTTCATACACAGACTAGGACATTGTCAGCTGCCATCTTGACAAGTAATAAACCTAATAATCAGCTTAGCTCATGAATATTAATTGGGCGGCTTACTGTAGTGTAGTGTTAACAGATTCAATTATTTTTCCCAAAGCAAAATAAAAAGTTGATGATAATTCTCCCCCAAATTTTTTTACAATTGGACATTTCTAAAAGCTAAACCAATTAAACTTGCTACTCCCCTGCTAGCTGATATTTGTTAAAACCTGTTATGCTTCATAAAGCATATTTTTGACGTTTCGGTAACTTTCGGAATTTCAAACGCTTCAGCCAATCAGATGCTTTTCGTACAAATAATGAATGGAGCATATCGTGTTCTGAATCACCTATTTTCCACCTCTCTCTTTCACCCACAGGCAAAGGAGGGCGACTTGGCGATAATCAGTCAGGTACTAGAAGATCCTTGTTTGACCTCGAGGAAGTTTCGTGAATGGAAGCAACGTAACCACGAGCTCTTCCTGGATATCTGTGAGTTCAGCTCTGCTCCATTGGAACCGCCCAGCGATTCCAACGACCTTTCACCTCTCTCGCCAACGCTGATGATGCACACTCACTCTTTCATCGAAACGCACGTGTGAAAGTCACTGTCACGCACCCGCACGACACAAACAAACAGTCACACGCTGAAAATACAGACATAAAGGTATATGAATAACCTTGAGTTGTGTGTTTCAAACCCACACACACACAGACACACACTTTGAAAAACACTGTGGATCCAGACTGTCTTCACTTTTTCCTTGACGGATGACCTGATACTGCCCTCCTCCCGAGCGTGAGTGACACCAGATTGAACCAATACACTGTAAGATCAATGTCAAAGAAGTGACCCAGCCTCCAGAACTACTGCAGACACACACGCAGGCACTGTCGTCAAAAGCAAAGTGTTACCTGCACATCTACGGCTCATTGCAAACTCTGTACAATATATTTCATCACGGCCACAGTTTCAGACGGATGGAGGAAAGGCCCTGTGAGGTGCCCGCTGCATGCCTGAAGAATCATCTTTTCAGATTAATTGACCACCAGTTGAACAAAATAGGGCCGTATATAAAAACTAATCTCTTATTTTTGTCTCTGATTGGAGTAGATAAAAAAGATCTTTTTTTATATCTTCTGAAGATTTTTGTTCATTTGTTTATTTGATTTTTTTTCCTTCCCTCGGAATGCTGCAGGAAGAGCACTCATGTAGCCATGGGCAACAGGCTTCACTCTGTTACCAAGCAACACCGCCCTACTGTGTTACTCTATACAACTCCTGAAGCAAGCAAGAGTGTTGAAAAGTGTGTGTGTGTGTGTGCGTATGTGTGCGTGTATTAGAGAAATGAGAGAAAGAAAGCGAGTCAGATGGATGCAGAAGAGTCTCTTTTTGAGAGTTTGATGACCATTGCGTTCGTATATGGTAAGAGATGAACTCCTGGCAGGTAGTAACGTGTTTAATTTGGCTTCTTTAGAATATTTATATTATAGCTAAACTCATGCATGGTTTAAAAAAGTATTACTATATGCTATCAGGCCAGAGAACAGTCTGTATATAAGAACATATTATTTGCATAGCTGCATCCTCTGTTTAAAACTGTGAATTGTACTCGTGAATGCAATCTTTTGACTCTGCCAATGCAGAACCTTTCTACTCTCTATTTTTTTCTACAAAAAAGATGACAAAAGACGAAAAGCTTTGCTTCTCTGATGTTATGACTGTTTTTGCTTGTTTCCGGGTCTTTGCTGGTCATTACCTCTGAGCTATGGGCTACATTCAGGTTGTTAGTTTCTGTTTGCTAATGTACGTGTCCCTTAGACAGACTCCACCAGCCTAAAGCCAACGTTTTATTCCCTTTCTCAATTCTGGACGTCAGTGGCTCAGGATTCTAGAATTGGATAAAGTACAATGGGAGAGAATTTGAGGTTAAAATCCCCAAAAAAAAAAAAAAAAAAAAATCAATTGGTTCATTCCAGGCTGTGGAGTGCAAAACGTACCCCTGCTAAATGTTGTGTGTGTGTGTGTGTGTGTGTGTTCCCATTTTGTTCACATTAAAACATCATCAAGACACATTGGTTTTAATGCAGCCCTGCATATGTGCTCTGCTCAGTGTTACAGTTATGTTTGATTGTCACTTTTTAGAATCTCGTGGGATGTATTTTAATTGAATAGAATGTACTCATTCAATGGCTTGTTAATTGTAAATTTCATTGGAACAAATGACACACACTACCCACACACAGACTTTTATGTCCGTGGTCGATGCTTTCTTACCAAAGCGAGTCTCAAATTCACATCTGCCTGTTACAGTTACTGTTTTAATTATTCTTTTTATGTAGAATGTTGGTTACACTTTATTGTGCTTCATCTCATGGTGTGTGTGTGTGTGTGTGTACGCGAGTGTGTGAATGTTATCCAGGCCATCGGGGTTTCACTGTGGTTTTAAGGGCATGTCCCCCCTTCTCTCCCCCACACGGCTATGCTGTATAAGGTGTAAGTTGCACTGCAACATTGAGACGGAACATATTGCTCTTTTTTCAAGGTTTTCTTTCAAAAATTTCCCCTTCTGTATATTAAGACACCAGGAAGAGCCTGATATTTATTCACAGTATTATTCAAAGCTAACCCTCTTTGCTTTCAGAAATATAAATACATATATAAATATATATAATACAGATTGTAAAATGTTAAACTAATAAACTGAGTTCTCTGCACTCTGCATTTGTGTGTTGTCGTGTGATGCTTCCAATTTCCATCATTGCTGATGTACATCCACTGACATGCAAAAATCAATTTCACTTGGTTTATCTAAGAAAGGATCAGTTTTGATGGGGCTAATAATCTTACCACTAAACCAACATCATATATAGATTTTCTGGTCATTCTTATTTAGTTTCTTTTTATTTTTGCTCCCCCACCTCTAAAACCAAAACGTTAAAGGGATAGTTCACTTTGAAATTAATTTTTGATATCATTTAGCTTACCTCAAGGGCATCCAAGATGTAGGTGTCTTTGTTTCCACAGTATTTTCAATTTCGACATTTTTCGGTCAAACCGGTGTTGTCTGTCAGTCATATAATGCAGTTTTAGGGGGTCCACCTCAAAGAGCCTGCACAGAGAATTCAAATGAAACATGATTTAATGACTCGTGAATGTAAGTACACACTGATGGCCTAAGACACGAAACGAGCGGTTTGTGTGAGAAAACGAACAGTATTTATATAGTTTTTACCTCTTGTTAACAGATATGTCGAACTGATCTGAACCAGATGTCCAACTGAACCGAACTGAACCGTGTCCAAAGTTACGCCGGAAGTGATCTCTTGCGCGTCTACTTCACGCATTGTTTACACCATGGTTTACACGGAGATTTCGGAAGTTTTAACTTTCACTAAACATATTTAGATAAACGGGAAATCGCAATGGAAGACGATTTCGATATATCTAAATATATTTAGTAAAGGTATCTGTATCCTCTGTATGGATAGAAAATTGTTATATTACAAGACACAAATTCAGATAGGCTTCTCAGAGGTTACTCAACATGTTTTATTGTGACAGGTTTAAAAAATAATAATAACTATAAAATGATAATATAATAATTATAATAATTATTATATTATAATATTATAATAATATAATAATGATAATAATTATTATATTATAATAATATAATAATGATAGGAATAATAGCTCTTCTGTATTAGAAAAATAAATATATAAATAATAAATAACTAAAAGAAATACTTCCAAATTGAACAAAAAAAGCTCTCACAAACTTAAAAAACGAACTAACAACTATATATATATCTATATATCTATATTGTTAGTTCGTTTTTGTCTCTTTATCCTGTTTTTCTTCCTCATCCTCATTCTTGTTTGCCCATCTATCACGTTCATCACTTTAAACAACCAGGACGGCCAGGAAAGGGCGTGAAAACAGGACATATCCTGGGAAATCAGGACTGTTGGTCACTCTAACTATGCCATCAAAACAAAACCCGTGCATTGTAGTGACTTTAAGTTTAATTCATAAAAGACGCCAATCAGGAATATTCTCTCGCGCTTTGAGGGCTTTCATGAGTCCTCCTGCTTTCCGTAGTGAGACCGAAGGGGGCGGGACCGGTATGGCGGCCAAGGTGAGTGACACTTCCAACTGAGTTAGTTCAAATGATCATGTGTATTCTTTTATAATATGTCCATTCTGCAGCAGAGTACCCACACATCTCGTCAAGTATAATTTCTCAGGAGTTGCATGATACAGCTGTTAATCAGAGCGTGAGCACGCTTGTTGTTAAACCAAAGCGAAGAACATGCTGTTCCTAAACTCACTCATGATGATCTGTTTGAGGCACCCGACTCTAGTTTTCGGGAAACGACATTCTCTCTGTCGCTTTCTATCACTCAGAAGACTCAAAAGACAGCTTTTGGTTTGGGATTATTACACAGTAAAGCGTCTTCTCATGCTTCAGTCCATTAAACGAATACAGATAATGTTCTTAAGGGAAGATCAAGAAGCTGAAAGGGGGAAAACGCTCAGCCAGGACAAAGCTGATTGTTATACTACAAATGTCATTATAGGCATTATATTACTGCTAACATGTTCACTGAAAACTACACAACACAATCAAATGTACTATATCATATTCGCATAATTCGGGCATGAAATATGGTAGTGACATTTACGTCCTATGGTATGAACATGCAATACTTCAGCATGATGGTCAACCGCCGAAGTGAGTCTTTAATAATAAAATATTGTGTTGATCCTCAGATACTAAAGTATGCAGCGCTTCCTGCTGCTGTAGTGGGTTTGGGCTCATTTAGGATTTATTCCATGAATGAGAAAAACAATAAGGAGCTAGTATCTCCAAGAGAGGTAAGAAGTCATGTGTTTTTGATGTATGTGCCTTATTGGGGATGCATTTATTGGGTCAAAAGCATCAAATATTTATACAAACAATTTAATTGAAATAAATTCTAAAAGAAAGTTCCTGAGTAGTAAATCAGCATATTAGAATATTGATCTTGAGAAACTGAAGCATGGAATAATGATGCTGAAAATTCAGCTTTGCCATTGCAATAGATTACTTTTTTAATTTGTAATATTTCACATTATTACTGTTTTTGATCAAATAAATGCGGATTAAGAGACTTTAAATACACCAAATGTTTGAACAGTAGTGTATTAGTGTAAAGTAATGCATTATGTTAAATATATCAGCATGACATTTATTTCTTTTTCTGCCTCTGTCCAGTTGTCTATCTACTCCCCAGATGTTGCTACTGTGCCATTAGTGGAGGAGCCCCCTGGTGTAGTGCAGACGGGACTGGGGGCCGTTAGGACAGGCCTGCAGCCGTATGCCAGAGCCTTGCAGGTCTGATGACACTATGATAAGGAATTAGTTTGTCATTAGCCATGTTTCCGTCCACCTATTTCTATGCACATTTTGAAATATTGCATAAAAAAGTACTGGAAACACCAAGATTCACATAAATCCTAAAAATGTCCTTAAAAAAATCTTATTCACTTAATTGAGTTGGATAATCTTCCCGCCGCAGTGGCTTCCCTGATTCCTCCTTGTTCTCTTTAATACATCGGAAGGAAACTGCTTTATTCCCAGATGTTTTATGCAATATTTCAATTTAACGTACAAGATAAATCCGCAACTTTGGGTGGAAACATAGCTATTATAATATGATTGACAGGCAGTGGTGGAGGAAGTACTGAATCTCAGTACTTAAGTAAAAGTACAAATACCCAGATAAATATTTACTTTAGTAAAAGTAGAAGTAACACAATGACAACCATACTTAAGTAAAAAGTAAAAAGTACTTTATTTTAAATGTACTTTAAGTATTAAAAGTAAAAGTACTTGCATAACAATTTATTATCTTAATGTCTATTTTCTGATGATTAATAAAACATTTAATTCTAACTCATTCAACCTAATAGCCTACTCCTATAATGATGTTCAATAATGATGAAAAAAAAATGTCACCATTTCTGAAACAAGCTTGCAATTAGGCAATATCATGCTTATCCTTACTATATGTTAATAACTATGTTTGGCAGTAAACGCGATTCATTTATGGTGTAATTCTGAACCTCTTGGCTTGCCATAATCCTAACCAAACCAAACATATATTACACACGGTGTGTTTCCTATGCACGTAAAAACAAATTTTCGCGTATGAGTTGCATGATAAACACACTGCGTGTGAGACGCATTTAGTGTGACCGGGTTGATATACTGTATCTATGGCAACCAAACGTCACTGGTGAGACAAATGTGCAACGAACGGACGGTCAGATTACGTTTTGGCAGGGGAAAACTGATCAGAAAATGTAATGAAAATGTAACAGAAGTTGTAGAAATGTAGTGGAGTAGAAAGTATAATAATTGCTGCAAAATGTAACGAAGTAAAAGTAAAAAGTAGGCACTATTTATTGTACTTAAGTAAAGATACATGAAAAATGTACTTAAGTAAAGTAACAAAGTATTTGTACTTCGTTACATTCCACCACTGTTGACAGGACAACAAAATTTTCTGTTAGCATCCTCTCTTCTTTTTACAGAGCGCCTTAACTTCAGTCAAAGTTGGTGTGATATCTGTTTACCTGGCCGGGCAAGGTGAGTCTGATGTGTGCGATTGAGCGAAAGGCAGGAAGTAACTGTGAACCTGACCTTTAACCCCTGACCTTCTCATTTCAGACACGTATCACTTCCTTCGAGATCCACCTCCTGGCTTCCTGCCAAGAGTGGGTGTCATCGGTGTGTCTGGATTGGGTGGCCTGGTTCTGGCACGCAAGGGTAAGCTTAGTGTGCAGTCACTGCATGTTGGTTTACTGTTTAAATCGATTAAGCAGCAGCATCTGTGTCTGTGTTTTTGCCCAGGCTCTCGTTTAAAGAGGATTTTTGCACCTCTTGGGCTGGCCACTGCTGGTACTGCTGTCTGTTACCCCACACAGACTGTAGCAGTCCTGAAGGTACACTCTCTCAATCTCTCTCTCTCTTAAAAATATTTTGACGATGTAAATTTTTCCCAAACCTTGGAAATCTTTTCTTCTCCATGATTTTTCTACTTCATTGTTGCTATTTTTTTATTTCTAGATCACGGGTAAAAAGATGTATACTGTCAGTTCATCTGTTGCTTCAATGTTGAAATCCAAACCAAAGGAAGATGTCATGTCTGCTGTTAGCGTGGAGGTAATCTACATATTTCATATTAAAACCAAATTATGTTGGTTTTTATAGTACATATCGCAAATGTGAAGAAGTTTCTGCTAAATTAATAAATGCAAATATAAGGGCCTTAAGGCAGCATTATGTTATTTTTGTCATTATGTTATTTTTTATATAACCGATGAATAGAACCAATACCCCACCTTTTTTTTTTGAGAAAGAATCTGTTTCACAGATTTCTGATGTACGTCACAATATAGAAGAAAAGATATGTCGCTAATTTAAAAAACGTAATTACACAAAATTAAGTTTTATACTAATTAAGCGTAGCCAATTAGCCTGTCAAGATCTTTTTGCATTTATTTTACTCCAATGTTGAAAGAAATTTAAAATATTACTATACAATTAGTTTTTTTTTTTTTTTTTTTTTTTACAGTCTGCTGTTGCTGTAACGAGCCCAGATACAGAATCAACCGTTAAAGCACTTCCTGAACCCTCGGCCGAGTCTGAGCCGTCCCCTGCCGTTTCAGAGGAGGAAGTTACACCAATATCCAAAGCTGAATCAGTGGAATTATCTCCAGTAGCTGATATTGTATCAGAAGATGTTGTAGAACCTCCCTCTGTTGATTTAACAACTGGAATTGCTTCACCACTCTCTGAACCTGAATCTCCCCCTGCACTTGAGACTGCCTCAGTTACAGAAACTCCCCCTGAACCTGTTGATGGTACTGTCCGAGATGCAGAATCCACCCTAGAGCCTGTTGCTGAAACTGTCAAAGAAAGCACTCCTGAGGCCCCTGTCCCACAGCCTGCCTCAGAAGCAGCACCTGCTGACTGTGTTGAAGACACTGCTCTTGAGCCAACACCTTCCGCTGACACAAATATTACCCCTCTGGAGGAGTCTGATCCTGAAATTGTCCCAGAAGCTGCCCCTGCTGGTCCAGAATTTGAAGACCCTGCACCTACGGTTGTTTTAGAGGAGGCTACGCCCTCAACTACATCTACAGTAGAGGAAACCACACCCCCTGCCCCCATCCTTTCAGAAGATAACACCCCAACCAAAGTAGATGAGGAACCGGCTTCCGTTTCCCCAACCCCTGCTGAAGAAGCCATTCCCCTGACAGCAGAAGAGGCTCCAGCTTCATCTCAACCTCCTGTCCTTGAGCCAGCCACAAGTGAGAACTTTTTTTTTTTTAAATATTCCTCCAACTACTCGAATGCAGCCTTCCTAGGAAATTTCTGTAGTATAAAATGGATGAATTGATCAATTATTTTTTTTTAGTACCTGACAAAGACAGGAAGGGAATTTTTATGTAATTTATCCTTTTTATATTATATATTTTTTTTCTGTGTGCATCTTCATGTTTATCTTGCAAATTCAATCATTCTCACATGACTTGGCAGCATAAGCCCTTTCTTTTCTCTACATTCTAATATCCTCCTTTTTTTTATCCTAGTAAAGTCAAGCTTTGTTCCTGACCCTTCTCTGCTGGACCACGGCCAGTCTAATCCAGAGGACGCAGACATGTACAGCACACGGAGCTGAATGAGTGATAGAGTAACTGCAGATGAGAAAAAGATGGAATTGATGAGATGTTTTAATGTGCCATGTTTCCAGCAGTTTAAACGTTTTGTAATCGTTTAATTACAAAATTATTATTTTACCAATAATGTGATGTGGTGAGGAAGGTATGTCATGTTTCTTTCGTTCTGTGATGCTTCACACCTCAGCAGGGATATCAAACACTAACACACGTTTATGTGTTGTTAATACACGTTGTCCACTGTGTTTAGTAACTTAGCTCTTTCTCAGTGTGACACTACGAAGGAAAATCCAGGCACAGGGTTACAGTGTTTTAATAAAAAAGCCTGTGGTCCCTTAGTCTCATCTCCTGGTTTATTTCCAGTAGCCACAGGAAGTTTGTGTTCCTTTTATTCAGTTAAAATTTTCATATAAAACTGGACCACACCAAACACTTTATTTTATATATAAACAAAACAAAAATATTTGACTTATACATGAGTATTGTCTAAAAATACGCTTTAGCGACAAAATCTTGTAATCAGACTTGGAAAATGTGAAGAATGATCTATGCAAATATTCCTTCACGCCATATTTTAAATTTCAATAGGGCTTTTCACACTGCGCGAAACGTTGTTCTAAAGCCCTCTTTAACACCGGGTAATGGGTTAGCACCGCTTTTTACTAATATTTATTATGTTATTATGACCAATTTTGCGGTGACAAACTAACTTACAGCGCGAAACTTTTCAACAGAATGTTTGCTTTGGACAATCACACCAGCACCGCCTGTTGTACTATAAACGTTAAAAGTGACTGAGTGAAAACACGCGAATTGGAGTAAAGAGACTTATTTATTCTTACCTTTAGAATCCAAACAGCATCTTCAGGGACAATAACCAGGTAATATATTGAATGAAGATGCGCAATGCCAGAGCCTCATGTAAACAGGTCCAGTGCTGCATTAGTCCAATCAATGACGCGTCACGTATACCGCAAATGAGAACGTTAAACCCGGGTTTAGGAACGTACAGTGTGAAACGTCAGGATTAAAAAAAGAGCCCGTTCTTATCCCAAGGCGTCATATACGACACCTTTGCCAAAGCATAGACATCCAAAGCACATGGCTCACTTCGGCGTCAAATGAAACGCAGATATATATGGGGCAGAAGGCGCCTCCTAGTGGTCTAACCCTAACCCTACCCCATACCTAAACCTACCATAACCGAAGCGTCTCATTAGACGCTAAAGGGTGCCATGTGCGTTGGATGTCTACGCTTTGGCAAAATTGTTGTATATGACGCCTTGGGATGAGAATGTATTGGTATTAATTGTTAACACCGAGTAATGTATGAACAGTGTGCAACATAGAAAGACCCAGTCAACTATTTCAAGTGTGAAAAGTCCTAGTATTTCTCAGAGGGCACTGACAGTGCAGAGTGAATGTTTTACATTAAAATATTTAATTTATACTGTCTTTACATGAATCTGTTGTCTGTGCAAAGGAAAAAACAGGACATGAAATAAATAGATTTAAAGAACGTTTTGAGTTTGTTTATTTTCCCTAAATGTTTCCTGAAATTGCATACAAAAGATTATAATCATATTTTATCTAGATGCAACAACGAACAAAAACTTGTTTAACAACAAACAAGACTTTTTACACATAAAATTAGTCTTTCAGTCCCCTAAAATAACTCAAATATAAATGTACATGACTTTTTTTTGTTTGTTTTTTTTGTTAGGCATGTCCTCTCATTGAGTGTTGTTAGGCTGGCAGATGTCCGCTGTCCTGTAGAGTTTAGAGCACATCATTTCCACCCTGCCTTCTCCAAGCAGACACAGATCAACAATACACACCACTCGCTCTGACTCCAGCATTGGGGCAGAACTCATCAACGAGACTGCAGAAAAACACACACACACACACACACACACTTTAGTTCTACCTGTGACTCACAGGTTATTCAGCAAAGATGGAGGATGTGAACAGAACAGTGTGGTAAAACACACACACACACCTGGTGCGGGAAAGCTGCCGTCTGGCTGAACACACAGACGTCCTGATGAAATGCAGGACAGCAGTGAGTTGTCATGCTGAGTGTCTGGCACTCCAGCAGCTCTGGGGTCATCAGATGAGACGACGGGCACAAACAGAACATCTACTGCGGCCGTTTGATTCAGCCCTGAGAGAAAAAGAGAGGACCAGTTATTACCTGAAGCTCCATTCCACAACATAGAGAGCTGCATGCGCTGCTCTTACCCAGAATTGTGAGCATGAAGTAACCGGGGCAGGCCACAGGTGTGTGCGTGTGCGTCTGCGAGGTCAGATCGGGGTTCCATCTCGCTGCGCTCAGGTTCAGGTCATGCAGTAAAACTTCTCTGTCGTCAAAGTGGAATTTTTCAGGAATGCTTTCCTGATCGAGTCTGCCACTGCAAATATGATCTGTCACCTGCTGTTTCACTAACGGCCAGACTCTGCTCTCCCATAATGCAATGGGGTGGCTCGCAGCTTGCTGTACATCTGGGACTTGCGATGTCTGGTCAGTCTCTTTAGAAATAACAACACAATATTTGATATTATGCTCATCAAGGCAACATGTATTGAATCAAAATACAGGTCAAACAGAAATAATGTGAAATATTATAAACATTTGAAATGCTAAACTGTAATATATTCATGTGATGGCAAATCAAAGCTGTTACTTTAGGCTCCAATTTCTTATTAACAATGTTGAAAATATTTGTGCAGCTGAATACCTTTTCAGAAACAGTGATACATTTAATCTTTTAACATTACAAATGTCTCGACTGTCACTTTTGATTTTCACAATTTAAAGCATCCACCTTGCTGAATAAAATGATTGATTTACTGACCCCCAAACTTTTGAACAGAAGTTGAAGTATATTGTATCATTACAAATTACTCCAGATATTGAACACATTTAATTATGTATTGTATTATAAATGTGTCAGTGATGTTCAGAAGGTGCAACACCTTTTCCTACAGCTGACTGTCTAATTGATATGTGTTTGTCTTTACCCTCAGATTCGTCTGACTCCAACTCGCCTTCGTCCGGTTGTTGTTGTTGTTGTTCTTCCTCTTCACGAGAGGTAAAGGCCACCTGCATACCTGCATTGTACCTCAATTGAGAAAAAAAACATTATGCATATTGTGCACATAGGAATCAGAGACTCGTGGGATAAATGCTAAATATACTGTGGCCGTACCATACATTTTCCAATTAAAATATGAGATACTTAACTAAATGATAAAAAGGAAAAAACAAAAACTGCATATATATATTTTGTTATCAGTATGTTTAGCTGAAGAGTGATTTGTTTTATGGGATTTAACACACAATATTTTAATTTAGAAGAATTTCAATGTCCAAATTAACATGTAGATGTAAAACTGAATGAGAAATTCTTACGAAATTCTTCCTAATTAATTCATTCAAGTGAGACTAAGCTTAGATTACCTGTTGGACTGCATTTTGGATCTGGTGAAATACTGAAAATGCACTCTAAACAAAAAGGGGGAAAATTTATTTGTGACATACTAATGAAATTAACTGTTCATATGAAGTAATTTCAGTAATTAAGCAATATTTGGTTCAGCCTTGTTGCCACACCTGCCACTGGCTAGTAAACCAGCCATAAATGTTTTACCTGCCAAGAAAGTTTTTTTTTTTTTTGCATTAATATTTACCGACATATATTTTTGTCCCTTTGACAATGGATTTGTCTGTAGACTCTTCTTAAACATTTACATTGCTGTAAAAAGTTGAGGTGATTAATAATGTTACAAAAGATGTATATTTCAAAGAGATGCAGTTCTTTTCAAATCAAGTCAAATCAAATAATCCTGAATGCATCATGGTTTCCACAAAAATATTAAGCAGCACAACAGTTTTCAACATTGATGATAATAAGAAATGCAAAGAAATCAGCATATTAGAATGATTTCTGAAGGATCATTTGATCTCACTGACCCCAAACCTTTGAACAGTGGTGTATAATGAACAAAATGATGGATCTGATTCACTTTGGCTACTTGTACTGGTTAAGAATGCTTTACCTAGAGCCTGTCTGCACTCTCCTACGTTTGGGTGCGACTGTAATATCCGAATCAGGTGAGGTTGTATCTGTTTCTCTCTGTGACAGAGTCATCTCATCCTTTGTGGAGGAATGAATGGCAGGTACAGTGTTGCTGACCCCTCGTTCGGAGACACCCTCCTGCTTTAAAGACATCATCAATGATGTTATTATTATTATTGTCAGCACATTTAGTTTCTTTCTAAAAAAAAATGTAAAGGGAAATAACAGACTGTCCTCATGGTGGCGGCAGCAGACTGGCTGTTTTCATCTTGATTCAGAAGTACAGACCTGTCGATTGCTGTGTGGCGGCTCATGTTGTGGTGGCGGCCAGATGTGGAACTGCACAGCAGCCACGTGACCCTGTACAGCCACTCTCCTGTGCTCCCTGTACTGCAGACTCTCCAGCTCCCCCTTCAGCTCAGCCACTGCTGTTATAGAAAACTCATCTACAACACACGATTCATACAGGTTTGAAACAACTTGAGGGTGAGTAAATGATGAAAGAATTTTCATTTATCCCTTTAAAACTGCGGTGAACCAGACAGTCTCAAAAAAGTGGTTTGACACCGTCCTCGTCTCCTTTTGTCAAAACACGTATCCATCCCGTCAACATGCAGGGCGGGGCTTTTCTCCACTGACTTTCTTTGATTTTCAAAGAGTTTCTAAGGATGCTGATTTTTAGAAGGCAGCTGTCTGACTCTGAGATGGCGAACGAGACCAGGGATAATTCGCATATTCATGTGCATGTATACTAAAAGAAGCAAAGGCAATAACATTCAAGCTATTTTAAAGCATGAAGAAGTTATTTTCACAGGAAACAAAAATATCTCATTTTGGTGAGTTTTAAAGGGGTGGTATTATGCCCCTTTTTACAATATGTAAAATAAGTCTCTGTTGTCCCCAGAGAGTGATGTGAAGTTGTAGCTCAAAATACCCCAGATCATTTTTATAGCATGTTAAAATTGCAAATATTCCAAAACTGTCTAAATTTAAATTTAAATTTAAAGTCAGCATGAAAATTAATATTTCTTCTCCCTATTGTAAAGTATATAAGAGTGAAAAGGCTTCTCGCACAAGAAAAAATGTAGGGCGGGAATTGATTTTGTCCATTGAGAATTGATTGGATTGTTGTGGTTTGCTCTCGCTGTGATCTCATGTGAGTGACAGGTTGTCCCGCCCTCGCTCAGTAAACACATTATCAGAGAAGTCTTGATTAAAGATTATGAGGCACATGGATTTAAATACATAAATAAATAAAAAATGAATAACAATTTAAGTAAAAATAATAATGTAAACCCATTAAATCATGTATAATAAATATTCCATAAAAAAAAAATTCATTGAAATTCTTACCGGTCATGTTGCTATTGGTGGTGGTTGGTGTGAAGGTGGGTGGGGCAGGAGGGTAGCGGTAATGTCCCCCAACTGCAGTCCTCCGCAGCATGACACTGTCCTTCAGTGTCTTGGTCCACTGGATGAAAGCTTTAACTTTTGGCTCATTGACGTAAGGCTGCTTTTTATGGCAGCCTGTTAATGTAAAAACAAAAACAAAACAAAAAACAGACATAAACAGCTGATTGTGGTTATCTGTGACCTCATTGTAACTAAAATTTACCTGTGATGAAGAGTTGTGTTTCTGTGCTACTGGTCAGATACACAGAACAGCCTGTCCGACACACCCTCATCTGAGTACACACCAGATACGTCACTGAGAGAGAGAGAGAGAGAGAATCAAATCATTCAGCATTAGAGAAATACAATGGTTGTGGGACATAAAGCCATGGGTGGGTTTTTTACTAGGACAGATGTTGTTGAAAATCTCTGGCTGGGATGTGGAGAAGATCTCGAGGATAAAGGGAGAGTCAGTTGTCCCATCCACTGCATGTACCCAGCGATACGCCCAAAACTTTTCAGGTCCTGACACACACACAGACACACACACACGCAGTCAACCCTAAGTATGAATGAAGCTAGCATTAGCAAGCATATAAAGGAGCTGGGAGAGGAGTACGAGAATAAATGATCTTAACTGACAACCAGCTGTTCAATAATAGTCTATACCTGTCTTTTCCTTGCTCCTGATTAGCTCAACCCGGCCCACATAAGTCACTAGACCAATGACATCACAGGCTTGGTTATTGTTCATTGAGTCCACCTCTGATCTGATCACAGAGAGAGGTTTTGTTTAGTTAGGAGACTTTATTCTCCACAATATGGAATGATATTGATAACGTTACATTTGTGGTGTTATCTAGCATTAGGTATTTCACTAACTATTCGTGTATCTTTCACAATCAGCAATGTCAACATAAGTGAATGTATATGATAACGAAAACGGTTAGTGAAGTAGACTGAGTGTAACAGTAAGTAACAGTAACAGTAAGACAATTTCAGTGTAACAGTAAGATCGTAGGAAGCAACATTACTGTACTGAACGTGTCTGGAAATGTACAATATAGTAGCGGGATGAGTGACGTTAGACAGTAGATCTAGTACATAAAATAAAAGTTACATCCTAAAGCACCTACTTTTTTATCCTGGATGTGTTCTTTTCATGTCTCATATATGTTGTAGTTTACCTTGCTATTTCATTACAGTTTACCATTATTTCAGCATATCTGAAAATAAAAGTAGCGGAGGTCTCTCCATAATTCAAACGCTCTGCCAATGTTGATCCGTTTTTTCCATCTTTAGTCGATCGACTAACGTTTGGCTTGACGAGCTTTAGCACATACGTTTTTGTTTTGTTTTTTATATTTATGTGGAGTTTGTGTTGAAGTGTGTGTTGTGCTGGAGGCAGGTCGTTTTTTGGTGTTATCAGACTCATGTCATTAGCTGCAGTGCCATCGCATAGATTGTTAAGAGGAGAGACAGAGGCTCAGGAGCGCACATGCACGTCACATTAGATGGATTTTGCAGAAAATCCGACCCGCAGACTTCACATAGATATAGGAATACTGGCCTTCACAGGTAATAGCAAAACCCGAAGTGGATCATTGTAATGTGTGATTACAACCCCTTCACACACAGGCAATAAAAAAGGAATCATTTTAGAAGAAAAGTTACATATAGCACCCTTTAAAGGTATTAAAAATGAAAACCATAATGCAATAAAATAACGCTGAAAATACTATGCTATTAGTTAAATTAACTTTTTTGTTGTTGAAAGAAGCCTCAAGGCTGCTTTGATTAAAAACATAGTATTATTGGGAAATAATATGATTATTTTTAGTTGTTATGTGCAGATTCTGCGCAATACACTGTATTTACGTAATATATCATCATGACTCAAGAGTGGCAGATTTGGCTACACGAACTTCCCTAGCAAAGTGAGTAACACACCAAATTGGTTAGTGATTTGACAGCATTACTTAGTTGCCACAGCTGATTTTTACCCGCTGACGGGTGTTAATTTCAAATATATACAGTACACAGGGTATGAAATTAACACCCCTTTAAGGTTTGAACATGCAATTTAACTGCTGTGACATAACAGCTTTATTTATCCTAAAATTACATAAAACATGGTCTCTTCAAATAAATGATATGCCAACTTGTGTCCAGCCAGGTAGATCAGCACGTTACAATTCCAAAGTGCGCATCAGTTCTGACTGGATCTCTTCCCTGCCCAACATTTTTGTTTCGTTTTTTACTAGTTGACAAAAATGTCATAAGATTTTTGTTGTAGTTTTTGTCATTCAAAATTGTTTTTTATTTAGTCTCTTTTTCGTCTGTGAAAAAATTGTGTTGACGAAAATGATGATGAAAATTATTCGTCATTGAAATTTACCCTGAAATCAAAATGTTTGTAACTGGCGAGTATGTGTACCTTGTGGCAAAGTTGTACGGGACATCAGGCAGACCCCACTGAGGCTGAACACTTTTGGGTGGAATTACAGTCACTACAGATGCAGGACTTCGAGGATTTAAGCAGATCTCTACAATACACAAACCAACCAAAGAGCTGAAATAATGTAACTTTTCCATGAAATGGACCAATATTGAACCTGTATAAAGGCCCTTGCACTCCGAGTCCGAAATTTTCGTATGCGTTTTTCCGTATTCGTGATTCGGTGGCTCTGAATTGTCAAAACACCTTTCAAACTGCTTGCTACGGATGTGAAAAATGCAGAAAGTCTAACCCAAATCGATTTTTTTTTAATGACGGACGAAAGTTTCAGAGGCAGTGTGCAAGCGTGATTGACATGACGTGATGTCGTATTTATATGTTAATGTGCAAAAATTTCGGTGTGCAGGGGCCTTAATACAAACCAAGATGAAATACTTGCATAAGAAATATTGCTTTGGAAAAGCTCATACCAATGGAGTGGAAAGCCATAAGAGAGAGTGTGTGGATCTGTGGTCTAGAGCGCTTCTGATAACTGTGTTTCAACGAGTACTGTTGCAGATATAGAACTGAGCCTACTGTCAGTCGGTTGAACCACTCGAGACAAAGATCATTCCATACAACCATAGACATGACTCCACTCTGATCAGCCACCTCACAGTACACCTGAAAGAGTGAAAGAAAGAGGGAGCGAAGAAAGAGATTATGTTTGGCACCACTGAAATAGTCAATAGCTGCATACAAAAAAACAATGTAACCCTATAACCTCAACTCACCTGAAATGGGAAGTCAATGTTCTGTCCTGGTTTTCCATAGTACCGGATTCTGGACCTATGCAGAATTCGGACCAGTAGTGGGAGAGGACGTCTGGAGCTGTGAAAGAATACATCCAGATCCGCAACAAGAGTGATTCTAGAGACTAAAAAAAAAGAAAGACAACAACATTGACCAGATATAATGAAAGGATTACTATTTCACTATAAATTGTGTGCAAAAGAACAGCAGTGTTTGAATATTATATACAAATAAATTCTCTAATTCTCATTTTGTACACAATTTTTGACAAACATTGTCAAACTCAATTATCCAACCCTTTTAAGCTATTATTATATTACAGTATTAGCAAACCTAACTTTTAACCTTTAATATGCATGTAACATGTATATGTATGAACATAATATCTCAGTGTGTGTAATGTACAATATGTATGTATTATTTATGTATGCATATAATATGCACTCACACACACATAAATACATTATGTATTTATATTATATACTTGTATATTATATACTACATATTACATTATACTTTTATATTATTACATTATAAACTTTCCACTTTACATACACACACTTTCATTACACATTTTGTACATTACACATTTGTACATTACATATACATTTTGTTTTACCACTGCTGATCTCATACCATCAATAGCCACGTCTGGAGGTGGGTTGTTAGGAATCCACACGCTGCCATAAGGATCATCGTTTATCCACAGGGGTAAATAATATTTCCTGCTCAGCTGCAAGGGTCCATCGGATCGGGTCACGTAGTCCTGGCACCACTGCGGAACTTTCTCTACGTCTTTAATAGACAGAAATCTCTCAGGAAGCTCCACGACGCTGTGAATCCCGTCTATCCTCAGGTAACTGTGACTCAGTCTCGTCTCATCGTGAACCAACGACAGCAGGGACACCAAGACCCCCGTCCCGCAGCGCAGCGAGCCCCTCCGGACCCAGCGGGTCAGACTGTCCGCCAGCTGACACTTCATCCTCCATCGACCGTCCGTGATAGTCAGGTCATAGCTGTAGCTCTCACCGGAGGGATGTTGTAAGCTCAAGTACCGGTCCAGAGCGACGACAGCCAGGCACAGCGGGCTGGTGAGGGTCAGGGAGAGAGTGTGAGTGGACCGCAGCTTTTCAAACACATTCTGGAGAGCAGAACCGGAACCGCTGTCACTGTGATCCGCTGGACCTGCCATCTCTGAAACCTGAGAAGGTTAGAACATCTAGACCCAAACCTCTAACGTTAACGTTAGCACGATCTGGCCCGAACCAGATGGAAGCATTAAATGAAGTTTAATACGTGTATAATTAACGTTGACTTATATGAAAGCGACTGCGCTTGCGTATCTGAACTTTACGCTGTATTATTCTTTTTCATTTTGAAACAATAGAAGTCAATGCGACTTTTTATCTCATGACACTCACTGTCATTTATTGAAATCTGAAGTCAGCTCAATCTTCACGGAATGTAAACAAACTCCAAACGCGCGGCGAGTTCGTGTTTCTTCTTCCCGAATCACGAGTAACAGCAGAAGATTAAACACTTAAGGAACCTCAGCGCCAACTACAGGCACGGAGGACACGACCGCGACACCGTCTGCAACTTCGATTCACTGCACAGACAAGGCTAGCTGGCTAGGCCAGACGAAATTTCATGTTTGAGCTGTTTTAACTGAAAGTAACTTGCACGGACATTTCTTAAAATATTTGTGGAGAATACCAGCAACGTCAAGTGGTCAGAACAAACAAAACATGGAGCTGAAAAAGCAATGCTGGTTTATTTTGCAAACACCACACAGGGCTTCATCAGGGCCAAAAATGCCATCAGTGCCATTGTTTTGTCTCAAGATGTACACCTGCCATGTTTTTTTCCCCCAAGACACCTTTTTTAAAAGTTATACTTAAATGTCTTAATTAAACTAAGGTCTTTTCCTAGCTTAATAAACTCTGTCTGTGAAACCAGGCTTCAGTTTAGTTTTGTGCTGCTTGTTGTGATTCAGGAAGAACCATGACCTGAAGGATAATGCATTTTTATGGTTCCAAATTGCATTACAATCAAAATAAAAATTGAATATTGTTGGACAAGCATATTTTTAGTAATACAATAGTGTGTACAAATAATACAATAATACAATAGTGTGGATTCAAAATAATGAAAGTCGCTATAACATCCAAACTGTTTCAGAATGTAAACTTTTTTATTATTAATTTCTTTTAAAACAATATTAACAATATGTTAAAGCTTGTTGTGATAGTATATGTACACAGAAGAATAAAAGGGGGGAAAAAAACAAGCCATACATAATTGACTGTGCAACATCAACTCGCTGAACTGACAAACAAAGCTTTACGTCCCCCAAAGTAAGACACTTCAATAATCTGTTACAAAATACCTCTGTTTTACTTTCAAATCATACACTGTATAGAAATTTATTTCAATCTATTTAACATCTTATAAAATAAACAACTATATTTTTTTCTAAACCTTTTTATGTCTTATATTACAATATCTTCCATGTATTTTCTGCAGAGTATCAGCAGAGATGGCTGTTTATACCAGGTGTCGTTTTCATCTCATCTCCACACCTGGTAGAATATAAATGCATTGACGCTCTCGCACCCACAACGAGAGTTATGTCACCTGAAGTCAAATGTCCCGGTAACACACTCACAACGCACACATAACACACACTCGCACAAATCCATGAGGCCTAAAACCTCATCAGAGCAGACACTTTTGGGGAGAAATCCAGGCCAGAGACAAAGAGAGAGCAAAAAGAAAGAGACATAAAGAAGGGAAAAATAATAAAGTGCAGTCTCCACAACCAGAGCATAGATTCACAGGAGGAAAAGAGAAAGAAGATGAGAGAGCCAGTACAGGTATCATCAACCATTCACAACCCAATCAATGAACACAAAGAGCAAAAACTAAATCTGCATGTGCAAACGACACCGCAAAAACATGAACGTCCGCAAAGCAACCTCAATAAACATTTGAGACTTAATGTTTGAGCCTGGCTGACAAAAAAATACATAAAAATGACCACAAACGTGCATTAAATGAAGGACGAAGCAGCTGGTTTTGTTCGGGGGATGGTGCGCACATTTTAAAATGGCGTCACATGAAGACTGAATCAGATTGGCTTAAATCGCAACCAAATTCGGATTTATTGATTCTGAAATCAGTCTACTCCTGGCAAAATCCATTTCAAAACTGGTTTCTAGCTCCTCCAAAATCCACTTTGATTGGTTACTATCTGGTTTGTTGATGGTCTTGTATGGTTCTATCAGCTTGGACCAGCTAATCTAGATTAGACCAGCTACAATTGTTCCAAAATTCACCTTGAAATGGATTCTTAGGTTGGGTTACTAAAAATATAAAAGTTAAATCTGACTCAAAGTGTATTTCTCTCACGCCTACAGACAAAAAGAGCATTTGTGAGACCGAAAGATAATCTCAGAGCAGCAGATGATGAGAAATGGGAGGCACTGATGCAGAAAAACCCTGACACGTCATACTTTGTGCTAGCTAGCATCTGAAACACAAACACGCCAAACACCGTCCTTGTCTTTTCTAGTGCCACTCCAGGAAGGCAGAACAAAGCACTGAGATGAACAAGTCACGCAATTCAGACTCTACACAAACCCTTGAAAAACATTTAGTAATGGTTCAGATGGCCGTAAATGATCTCTTGGAAATGTATAAATCTCTGAAGTGCTTCTTTTGAATGTAGTTTGATCTGATTGACTTGAGCTAAAATTTAACAAGCTACAGGAGCGTGAAGAGAGCGTGAGGGAGCATCACATTTCTACATGACTGAAGGAATGTTGAGGATCTTTGCATACAAAAATACTTTTACTGTTTTCATTCAAACAGCACATTGAAGTGTTTCTGGCTAATACAAGAAAATATATCTGACTAAAAAACTAAATCATAAGTATAAATTACACACATTCTTGTTTTTTTCGATTCACATCTAACAACAGGCAGAAGGACACACGATCTTGGACTTTCTTGAATGGAATTTTCTTAGTTTCAAAAGATTTTTTAAATAATCAGCACCAGTCTTTAATGTGCAACGTGTGACAGGACAGAGGAAAGCACAGCTTGAAGTCTCCGCACAAAAGAAACGGATTGAGATTTTTCGATTGTCAGATTTTGTGTGTTCACAACATTCATGTGTCTACACCAGAGATGCCCAAACTTTGACTTGTCGTGAGGGGGAAAATATAGCCTAGGAAAAAAACATGCCATTTAAGTAGACGTATGCCGGTATTCTAGATAGCATATTGGCACAATTCTTTTCATTTCTCTCAAAAACTTACAGTATATGCATCAATGAGTCTTTAACGCAACCCTTATGAGCTTTTTGGAAACACATGCAGTCTGTGCCCCATCTGACTGAGAACAATAGTGTAAAGTACATCTACAATGAGAAGCATGTCAGAAGGAGGATTGCTTTCAACTATAGTGTTGAGTCTACAAGTGTGTAGTGCTTCTTTACAAAGAGACATTGCCAACTACTGGCCTGGCATGCATTATATAGCGTTTTAATTTTCGCGGATCATAATTGATATATTATTAAACATAATTTATTTGTGGATTCATTCAATATGTTCAATTAGTTTCTTTTTGTTTTGAGTTTGTTGTTAATTTTTTTGAAATGTAAGCTGGTGTTTAAAACGTAAGAAAAACATAATTACAAAAAATAATACTGCAGATTACAGTGTTATGTTTTGATATTATGAAATCCCAAATGAGGGGAACCAAGGTTAAACACAAATTAAAGATAAAGTGCATCTTTTACTTTCGGCCCTCAATCAAGTTTGAATTTTCGTTGTTTGGGTACCTCTGGTCTACACCATCTCCCCGAAAATCATAAAAAATAAATAAAAAGAGAGAGAAAGAAACTAAGTGCATTTTTTATACTAATATTTGTTAAACACAGGCAGATGAGAACATTTCCATTTCTGACAATTAGGCCTGACAATTATGATTGTCTTCAATCATTGTCTTATTTTATCTATATTTGTTCATCACAGTTAAACTGCTGCACTTCCGCACAAAGTCCATCGTCTACGAAGCATAAATTAGACAGAGCTTCATCCCTGTGTAATACTGAAACTAAATATTAGCTCATCTGTTTATATTGACATCAAATCATTGGAGTTACAGTATGCAGTGTGGACATGCAGACCACATTAACATCTGAGAAATCAAAGAACCGTGTGATCAGCAAACATGCTTCTCTCGAGGAGTTATGTCTAGATGCTAGCCTGAAATATGACCATCCAGAACACATTATGTGAATGAACTATATGTACAGTAAAGTGGATCCAGAATTTTTTTTTTTGGATTGAGTTGAACTCAACAGTAGGAAAATGTTGCCCTTGTCTGAACGTTTAAATTGTTCTTAAATATTTGAAATATACAACGTGATTTAAGTTTCTTACGTTAGCATTAATTTTACAACAGGAGGGGACTGAACTTGCTCTGCACATGATAACAGGCAGTCAAATAAATGCATTTTTGAAATGTTTGGGTCTTCACTGAATTGTGCTCAGCTCCTATCACCAGCATACACATATGAAATATGATGTGTGGAAAGCAGTTCATTCATGACCATGTATTTTCCTTCTTTTTGGTGGGGCCATTTCTCTTTTAGCTAGTACTTTAGTATGCGTTTGAGAACTGAACATGTGACGGCAAACTCAGCGGACTCTAGATTGAGTTTAAGCTCTGTCAAGGCATTACTTGATTTTGTCTTGTTTGTATGTTATAAAAGTCCAGATGAAGTCAATGGGCTGTAACATTACAGTGCCAAAACCCTTCCGTCTTTCTGTCCTTTTTCTATCAATCGGAGCATCTGCTCGACTGCTCTGTGACCCGTCTCCATGAATAACAGATGGGTCACGCCCCATGTGGGCTCCTCCTACATATCCCAGCATCCTCTGCTTGCAGTCCGGGCCAGGCAGAGCCCTTGGGCCTCGTGGCGTTATCACCATCATTTGCTGTCATGGGAACTTTAAGGGACTTTGGCTTTCTCGATTTGGTTTGGCTCGGGACCGAGCCTTCCTCTGAGCCGAGAGAGAGTCCCTTCCCATCATGCCTTTAAGAGCTAAATGCTCAACGAGCTTTCCTGGCAACCTCTTGTCTTCTCCCAGGGGGCGGGGCTACCGGTGGAGCATGTTTCTGTAGTCTGACAGGTTGCTGGACTGGGAGTGATGATGCTGCTGTTGCTGCTGTTGTTGTTGTTGCTGTTGCTGCTGCTGTTGTGGCTGTACGTATCCCACAATGCTTTGCTGTGGAATGCCAGGGGTGTGGAATAAGGCCTGAGTGGGAGTGCTGTGAATCAGACCCTGAGGCTGCATCTTCAAGAGAGAAAAAGAGACAGAATGTTACCAGAATGTTTATAAATCACAAAACATGAGTTAAAGATGATATGATACAGAAATGTAAATCTGAATCACAATTAATCAAAATTGTGTTTGTCTACCTGAAAGAACTGCTGAGGTTGCTGTAGAGGTAAGCCGTGCTGGGCAGCCACCTGGTGAGGCGTGTAGGTAGGTGTGGCCTGATGGGTGATGAAACTATTATGGGGGATCATGATTGGTGAGGTGAAGACGGGGGACGGGACAAGGACAGCGTTACAATTCACCTGCTGCATGGGGAAGGAAGGAGCCATCATCTGCTGGTCCAGAGGATATCTGTAACACACAAACAATATTGGTGAATTAAGACTAGTATACTCCCCATACTATGTCTATTCTAGCAGAAATAGTTAAATGTAGTACTGTATACTAGTATGTTCTTTCAAATTCAGCCCAACAACCGGCCTATTGGCGCTTTTCCATTACCAGTACCAGCTCGACTCGATTTGGCTCGACTCAGCTCGCTTTTCTTTCTGTTTTCTATTGCAGACAGCACCGCCACAAATAGTACTCGGTCGTCATAGCGACGCCTTTCGCTCCTCATTGCCCTATCAATCTCTCGCAAGATCCTCTCTTCGTCCACCAAACAAAAGTCTGCACCTCCTTGTCTGACCATGGCGTATTCTTCCAAGATGCCATAATAACAGTAGTAAGTTTAGCAAATATCTCTGGCCAAACTATTTAAAAATAGCGGGGTTATTCTGGAAACTGGCGCGTGTAATGATGACGCAGTGAATGGTGACGATTCTCTCTGACCAATCAGCAGTCGGCATTGTTTTCACGAGACATTTTAGTATCACCCTAGCTTGCGAGTCAGAACCTTGCCGGAGGTGGTACAAAAAAAAGTACCCGAAAGCAGGTACAGATACAACTTTTACAGAGTGGAAAACCAAACAAAGGCGAGCCGAGCTGGTACTGTGTAGTGGAAAAGCGCCATATGACTTATTTCATTTTGAATGGGGCCATCAATCCCAAACACACTTACTTGGTATGTTGAATAGTTGAGCTGCACTGGGAAGACTGAGCCCCCCCATTGCTGTCTGATACAAGCGTCTGCATTGGCTGGTTTAGCAGCATCCTGCTAATCCGAAAACACCCTGTATTATATTACTGATCAGATCAGATCAGGTCTTGTTACAATCACACATTTTGTGATCAAAATCAGCCAATCAAGAAAACTCTCGAGGAATCACCTCTCGTTCTGTTGTCACCTGTACAGTCATCACTAAATTAGATTGTTACTACTGTATCATGGATCTACTAGACTCTATTATTTATTAAGAAACAGATAAATAATGTTAATTAAATATCATTAAAGGGCTCATGACACGAAAAATCAAGTTTCTTCATGTGTGTCGCATCAAAAGCACTGATGCCCTCTATGCTGGATATAGTATAAGGATGCACGTTCAGTTTCTGATGTGCTCCACCCACGTGAGTTTGTCGACAAGAGGACAAATGGAAGAGTAAAGTGGAACGTAAAGAAATATATGACGTGTCCTCTTTTTTAAACAGCTCATTTGTTCATTTCTGTTGAGACTTTAGCAGGATACCAGCGTCGGGAACAAGTGGATGACAGCAGCTGCATTGCAATGATTTCATAAAGTGTAAATGACGGTTTTAAATGGATAATGTTTTCAAAACACTTACTCAAGTGCAATATTGAGTGGGCATTTAGCCAAAGTGGCCGTTTACAGTCAAGTCTTAAAGGAGCCGCCTTTTAAAACGGATCATTACAGAAAGAGGGTCAGAAGGATCCAGCATATATAATAATAATTTCCAACATATATATATATATATATATATATTGTGCAAAATTTAATAAGTGAACCTTAAGGAACATATTAAAATATATTTTTTTTTAAATTCATGTCATAACCCCTTAAAAAACTGCATTTTCAACCAGAGATAATGTTTTAGCCTAAAGGTTTTTCTTCTGATCTCTAGAACATAATTTCCAGAATATAAATGTCTGGCCTAATTTGATCCATTTGAATTGAGAGGCATTACATCTGGATTATTATAAAAGACAAGAAGCAACTCCAATGTTTGAACAAACATTTGGTCATTTTCACGTACAATTTGTCTGTTCAGACCAACGCATAAACAATGGCAGACGGGTTGAATGAAAGTGCAAGAGTTCCAGGTTCTTTTTCTGCTATTCACTGTCCCTTATATGTGAAATATGTATGCGAGCAGAGCACCAAAAGTTGTAGTTATGTAACAGCAGCCAATTACAGTTTTATTTGCGGAAAAACAAATAGAAAACAAATTAAACTCTTTAAAAAAGAAAAAAAAAAAAAATTCCATTGACCGCATGTGATTGTTCATGTCTGTCTGAACAGACACATAAACAGACGTTTTTTTCAAATGAAAATAATGACTCAAATGACTGTTTTCTGTGTGTCAAGGTGTGTTTTTACCGTAGCTGTCCATCCTGGCTGTAGTCGGTGTGTGTGTTTCTTTGGCAGTGTGTGTCTTGTTGGGCTCTGTGTCCGTGGTTGGGGGAGAACATCATTGGGTTGCTGTAAAAGGGTGTGGTGAGACTGGTGTGTGTGTGCATTGGAACACTGACGGCCTGCATGTGTCCAGTCTGAACCAGCCTCTGCTGCCCCTAAACACACATAAACACAAGTGTGTATTAGTCTGTCTGTGAGGGATTAATGTCGATGTGTGTGTGTTGTGTGAAGTGTACCTGAGCAGATGAGCTACTGGGCTGTTCTCTGAGCTGTGTGTGTGATGAATGTGAAGCACAGTGTTGAGGTTTGGGGTGTGTGTTTTGTTGGGCTGGCCTGTCTGGACCCTGCGACTCTGAACCAGAACCGGCAAACTCTCCCTGTATCGGCTGCTGGAGAAACATCTGCAAGACAGCGATCCAAACACACCATTCAGAAGCAGACCACTTTAGTTCTAATAATAAATAAAGCAAGACTTCCAATACAATAACTTCATCTCTGAATACAGTAGCATTTTTTCTACAAAGAAGGAATATCGTATATCTACTATTCAAATGTTTGTGGTCAGCAATTAAAAAAAGAAAAATAAATTCATTCATTCATTCATTCAGGATGCATTAAACTGATGAAGTACTTCTTTTGAAGTTAAAAAGTTTTTCTGAACTTTCTATTTATAAAAGAATCCTAAAAAAAATTCAGTTGCCACAAAAATATTAAGCAGCACAACTGTTTTCACCATTGATAATAAGAAATATTTCTTGAGCACCAAATCAACATATTAGAATGATTTCTGAAGGATCACGTGACACTGAAGACTGGAGGAATGATGCTGAAAATACAACCTTACCACCTCAGAAATAAATTACATTTCACAATATATTAAAATAGAGAGCACTTATTATATAACAATATAATTATTTTAACAATATTTAAAATAATATTTCACAATAGTACTTTTACTTTCAAAAATAGAACAAATCTGTAAAACTTTACAATAAAGTTCTGTTTGTTAACATTAGTAAACTACTTTAGTTAACAAGGGAAAATAATTCTAAAGCATCTATTAATCTTAGTTCATGTTCATTTCAACATTTACTAATACGCTAATACAAAAGTTTTACCTGTTAATATTATTAAATGGAACTGAGCTTACATGAACTAACAATGACCAGCTGTTATTAACTAACATTAACAAAGATTAATACTGTAACAAATGAATTGTTCGTTGTTATTCAATTTTAGTTAATGCATTAACTAACGTTAACTAATAGAACCAAAAAATCAGTAGTGTATTTCTTCCTCTTTTTACATCACATTTTCAATATTTGATGTATTTTATCTGACCCAAATTTGCACAAATAAATATAATACTGCGAGTTTATGATAATGTGTGCTCACCTGTAGGTTGGCGAGCTGTAGTTTCTCTTTAATGTCGTGCAGCTCTTGTTGTTGTGTCTTGATGTCGGCCTGTAGGATGCGTGTCCGCTCCTCTAGCTGCTCTTTCAGCTGATGCATGACGCCTAACTGAGGCTGCTGGAATCCATACAGAGATTGTGTCTGCAACCCACAAGCACACAGAACATTGAGAACACACAAAAAGACTCGAGAGCTCAACATATAACCCCTTTTCCACCTTTTCAAAACTCTGAACTTCTCTCAAAACCAGCTGTAGTTTCCACTAAGCCGAATTAAGACTTAACCGACTACATTATTCCATAACATTTTGAAAAGCTATTTTAGAACAAATTAGTTCAGTTCTGAATTTCTGACAAATAAAATTTCTGCAGGGAACAAAGATCTAGATTTGGCACCGTTACACAGTCGTTGGTAAAATGTTGACAATCTTTCTATTCTGTAGCTATACTTGAACATGGAGGGAAAGACAGAAGAGAGAAAGGAATAGAGGGGAAAGAGAGAGGATACTGACCATGTTGGATTGCTGATTGCAGGAGGGGGAGAGTGATGTGGCCTCCGAGGAGCCCTGCCTCTGAATCAGGGTCTAAAACAAACAGACACATAAAGCATTCAGATACACACTGAGAGGTAATAACAACAAATACAATACTGTACAAAAAAGTAGGGGTCAGTAAGATTTTTGATCAAAAATGTTTACGTAAGATTTAGATTTCAAATAAACAGTTTGTTTCCTTTCTATTCATCAAGGAATTCTGAATAAAATTCATTAATAACAACAAGAAATGTTTGAAATGATTTCTGAAGGATCATGTGACACTGAAGACTGGAGTAATGATGCTGACAATATGGCTTTTAAAAGAAACATGTAAATTGTAATAACATTTAATAACAGTACAGTTTTATTGTGTTTAGTTTAAATGAATGATGAGTAAAAGAGACTTTTCTAAACTGTTAAAAATATATTACCACCCCTTCACTTTTAAACAGTAGTGTACAGAGCAATAAAAGTATTCAAAGTGGTTTTAGGGAGTCGCTAGTTATTTATATATATTATGATGTTTATGCATGTTTTAGAGTGGATTTTTGAAAAAATGTTGCAAAATTGTACTGTTAACTATTACTATTTGTACTGCCAAGAGTAGTGTTACAATACATTTCAGAGTATGAGCTGCAGTATGTAGTTTTTAACAATATTTAGTAAAGTGTATTGTTTAATGGTTACATTTTTGCTACAATTGGTCACTTGGATGAATTCTGCTTTTCTCATGTCTTGAGTCCTTCATAACTCACCTAGATATCGGTGGGGATTTTTATGTGTTATTAAACATCTGAAGAGACAAACTAATGACCTTATGATACAGATTTAAGGGCATCATCCATCTGCCCGTCTAATATGCACACCCTCACCTGTTGAATTCTATCTGCAAACACCTGTCTGTTGAGTTAATTAAAAATAAAACACAAAAACTAAAATAAATGTGTATTAAATCACAACATTACAAATGTACAGTATAAAAAATGGACAATTCATTTTGACAATGGCTTATTAAATTACGAGTGTTTTTACAGACTTTAAATGAAAGTTAGTCTATATGTCAGAGACCCTGTTGATTTTTGAAATTTTAAACTGTTTCTGAGACTCAGCCAAGCAGATTTATAAAAAAAATCAAACAATAAAATATAGCTGCGAGCAGCGATGGCGGGCCCAAGCCGGAGGCACCGCAACCCCGGTTCCTTTAGTTACCTAAAGGCACCCGGGTGGCGGTGCCGAAGGCTTTGGCCCTTTCATGATTAAATGTTAAAACGGCTTGCCATACTCTGTCATTTCGACTAGTCACAGTTATGTTACAGATATCTTAAATGATAATACAAACTATCCAAAGTGTAACGACTAGACAGAAAGACGTTGTTGATATCTACAATGTTAATTCCGGATAGGCAAACTTAGCTTTTAAATGTTAAAAGGGCTTGCCATACAGGGACGTAGGCTCAGAGAGAGGCTCACCATATTCAGACCAAAATATCTGACTTCCTCTTGGTCCGAGCTAATGACTATGTATTAGAAAGTTGTACGGCTTGAGGAGTACAATGTATATACCGATTTTTGTAACTGTAGATAAAACTAACAACCCCACTTTTAAGTATATATATGGTGCCTTTAGTGTTATTCTGCACGACGTGCAAAAACTTAACCCCCGCTTTTTTAAGTATATATATATATATATTAGGGGTGGCACGGTACATGAAAAAACACCCGAACCGTTCGGTTCGCTTGTCTCGGTTCGGAGCGCGTGTGCGTCTCACGGTTCGACGCATGCGCAATGTAACCTCGTGCACGTATGTGACGTGTGTTTTCTTTTCGCGCGACATAAACTTGTTCGACTTGGACCGGCGCTCATCAATAACATCAATCTAGCGCGATTCGGCTCCGTATGCATTCATCACTTTCGCGGTATTTGATGTCATTACCGATGGCTCTGTGCAGCGCCGGTTCAAGTTAATAAACAAGCCAGTAAAAGTGGAGTATGGAGCGCTGCAGGTCACGGCACGCGGAGAAATGGCAAGTGGAGAGATGAGGGAGTTGGAGGATGCGCCAGCGTCGTATAAGTCTATGGTATAAGTCCGGTGTGTGGGAACATTTTGGATTTCATGTTATGATATTTTAATTTAACTACAGTGGCACTTTATGTATAGATAAGAGCTTCAGTCATACGTTTCCAAACCCTGCACTTTAATTTTAAGTGGAAAAAAGTACCCTCACATTTTGGGAATAGAAGCATTGTTGATACTGTTTTTGTGTTGAGGTTGAATTTCAATTTCACTTTATGTTTATGGCCTTTGCTATTGCTATAGCTTAATTATCTATAGGCAATGAGGTTTCATGTATATTGACATTTAAAAGACAGTGTTTTAAGAATTCCTCTCTTTTTCTTTTAAAAGATAGAATTTTGGTAAGAGCTACAAAAGTTAGCAGTTGATACATGAAAGTTAATTTCTTTGTGTAAATAAGATTTATGTGATAAAAATGCACAAGTTCTTGTAGAGATAGTGATACACATTCTCCTTTTTTGCCAAATAAACAAAAAGCATGTCAATTTCTTCTCTCTTGCTGTATCTAAATCTCACCTAGCTTTCCTCTGAGATAGTCCCAAAATGTGCTTAAAGTCAAAGAGTCAAATTCAGTTTGTGCATGATTGCATGAATATAATATATAATTTTTAATACTGTATCCTAAAGTGTGGATAATTAAGCTATATATCACATGCTGAAGTACATTTCTGGAGTGTTAAAGATTAAAAGAAAAAATAACAAGAACCGTACAGAACCGAAAACCGTGACCCTAAAACCGTGATACAAACCGAACCGTGGGTTTTGTGAACCGTGCCACCCCTAATATATATATATATATATATATATATATATATATATATATATATATATATATATATATATATATATATATATATATAAAAGAGGGTTATTCTGCACGACGTGCAAAAACTTAACCTCCGCATTGACTGTCGAAGAGAAGTGTGCAGAAGAGCTTGCATCAGTGAGGGCTTTGCAAAATTTATATACATACAAACACACACACACACACACACATATATAAATGAGGTTAGTGTTTTACAATATTAAGGAAAGCAAATGTATTGAAATATAGCACATTAATTTTAAATTCATTCAGCTTCAATTACCAATTTGTAGTTTACCAATTTATCTTACTTTTATTTAAAGCAAACTATACATTTAAAAGATTAGGGTTATATGCATATTTTGTCATTTAAAAAATACAAAATTGTTATGCAAAAAGATAAGGACTTGCAGAAAAAATCTACAGTCAGCCACACACACACACACACACACACACACACACACATAAACGCAGACACCAGCAACCCCCCCCCTCCCTCTTCCCCACACAGACACTGATAGAGACAAGATACACATCCAAACTGCAATATCTGACTTTCTTTTGGTCTGAGCTTCTTACTGTTAATTAGAAAGTTGATCGGCTTGACAAGAACAATATACGTGGCATGTTTTGTAACTGTAGGTAAAACGAGCAAAGTTAACACATTTTATGTGTCCTTTTTTAGTCATAAAATTATTTTCCTCGCCACGGCCAAACCGTTCGAGATATCAAAAATCCGTCCGGAATTGAGCATCCTCAATGTCTTGACTTCATGCACACCGAGTATGGTGGTGATTGGTAAACACATGCGTTGTAATTTGATGTATTTCTCCTAGGAGATTTATTCAAACAACACATAATTTCCAACTTCCATTTGAACTGTCTTAAAACTTAGAGCAGAGATGGGCGCAGGTCACGCAAGTCTCAAGTAAGTCTCAAGTCTTAACCGTCAAGTCTCAAGTAAGTCCCAAGTATTTTTTTTGGGGGGGGGGGGGCAAGTCAAGTCAAGTCACAGGCTATGTCAAGTCAAGTCAAGTCTTGTAGTAGGTTAAGTCAAGTGCAAGTCAAGTCACCTTATTATTTTAATTTACATGCAGAATCTGATCTTAATAAAATGAAAGACAAGATAAGTATTTGCCAGTAAATTACAATAATTTGCATTGTAAATACTCATGTTCAGTAAAATACACCATGGAATCAAACAAAATTGTAACTTCATAAAATTATTTATTTTTTACTTCTGCCAACAGTGTGTTTGAAATGATTTAAATTTTCAACATTGAGTCCATAAAACAAATAACAGCTTAACATCCTACAGACTCTCTGAACACCTTCCTCTCTCTCAAACACAGTTTACAAACAATATTAAACTTTGTTACATTTCTCCTCTCTCTCTCTCTCTCTCTCTCTCTCTCTCTCTCTCTCTCTCTCTCTCTCTCTCACACACACACACACACACACAGTGGCGGTTCTAGACCATTTCAACTGGGGGGGCCAAGCTGGGGCCAGTTGTACTGTTAGAGGGGCCAGTTACATTTAGACCTTATCATTTTCTGCACTGCACTGAAGGCATAAATAAGCAAAATACCATGTTTATAATTATCCAACAATTTGCATTTCCATTATATTTTTACATTTGCATTACATATATCAGTCTATTTGAATTTCCATTTTATTTTTTTACATACAGTATGTATTTTTTTTACGATTTTTGTGGTTTTTTTTTTTTTTTTTTTTTTTGCAAAAAGATCAGCAAATTATCCTCTAAACTGGCCTTTTAGGGGGCTTTCCTCTCAGGGTGAATGAGCTTTTTTATAATTGTTTTTTTCCTGACATCTTTGAAAGACAGACGCAATAATTAATGCATCCTTGGCCAGGATATAATTATAAAATATGACATGATTTTAAAAGTGACCTATAAAAATCGACTATGCAATACACTTTAATTTATCTAGTGCTAATAAAATTATTAAGCCTATTTGGAGAGAGAGATGTTTTAAAATCGACTATGCATTACACTTTAATTTATCTAGTGCTAATAAAATTATTAAGCCTATTTGGAGAGAGAGATGTTTATAATGTGACAATATGTCAGTCATCGTGATTCATGTAATAAGATGACTAGGCCTAGACTACTTGTTCTGAGCAGGTGTTGTCAGTGAACAGGC